TTGCCTCACGCACTCTTAACAAAAGCGAATCCAACTACAGCACTACTGAGAAAGAATTGCTAGCAATCCTATACGGTTGTAAAACGTTTCGCCCATACCTCTATGGACGCAAATTCCTTATCATTACTGATCATAAACCTTTGAAATGGCTGTTTAATCATAAAGACCCCAGCAGTAAACTCCAAAGATGGAGATTGAAGCTGGAAGAATATGAATATGATATAGTATACCGTAAGGGCAAATTAAACTCCGCCGCTGACGCTCTGTCCAGATACCCGGTGAACCCTATATATCCTGCGAATAAAGATTTCTTAAATTCTAATGTAACTAACCCTGATAATGAACCACCACAGCCGAACATACCTGAAAACCAGGATCCTGTTGCAAGTCCCGGAAGCTCTCCAGCGTTCAGCCCTTTAACCTTGAGCGATCTCGATGTGCGTATTCCGTCTAGTCTTCTCGGATCAAACAGTAACTTACCTTCTATTCCACTCCTGGAAGACGACGATCTTTCCCTTACTGCTTACAGCCCTCAAAACTTACCTGCTCCAGCTGAGACTCATTCCAAAACTTCTTCTCCAGTACCTAAAAACTTACCTGTTTCCACTCCATCTCCTGAGCCTGAAAATCAACCGATGCCCGATGAAACATATAACAAATTCCTAAAATCCTCTACTGAGTCGCATGATACCCAAATAATAGAACATAATGAAAATCTACTAAAAGGGCCACAAAGGTTAGTTATTATACCAACTTCAATAGACATGGACGAGTCCATGCCTTACGTTCAAGAAATAATAAACAACTGTTCCGCGCTGGAGCGAGATGAATTTTTAAAGTTAGAAAGATCCTTACATACTTTTATACCTCTTACAACAGGAAATAAAACTTACCTTTTCCTGTTCACGAAGGTACATCATTTTGATGACCTTTCATATCCAGATATCTTCGAATCCCTAAAATACGCTCGTAATCAAATAATAATGTCTTATCCCACAGTAAATGATATTAGTACATCCGATTTCAAAAATCCTTTTGATAGACACTCTTTCGTCAAGATTTATAATATGCTTAGTTATTTATTCGACGGAAGTAACATACGTGTTCACATTTACCACAATAACATTGCATATCCTTCAATGAGCGAAATTCCGAAGATATTGAAGGAGAACCATGACCTTCCCCTTGCCGGTCACTTAGGAACCATTAGAATGTTAAATCGTATTAAGGAGAGGTTTTATTGGAAGAATATGCGTAGTGATATTGAGAACTATGTGAGGAAGTGTTCGTCGTGTCAAATTAATAAAGCCTTGCGAAAAACTAACAGAGCGCCAATGATTATAACCTCTACTTCGACAGGCCCATTTGAGCGGTTGTCTATGGACATCGTAGGCCCATTGCCAGAATCCGGTACGGCTAAACTTAAATACATATTGACTATGCAAGATGATCTTACTAAATTCTCTATAGCCTACCCAATTCGCAGTATTACTGCTGAGGAATGCTCCGAATGCCTTCTTCACTTCGTTTCCCTTTTCGGAATACCGAAGTATATACTTACCGATCAAGGTACCAATTTCACAGCCGAAATATTCAAGAAAACTTGCGAATTTCTAAAAACTAAACAACTCTGGTCCTCTCCTTACCATCCCCAGACACAAGGTGCTCTGGAAAGGTCACACGCGACCCTCAAGGAATATCTTAAGTCTTATGTCAATGAGAATCAGGATAATTGGCCTCGATATGTATATACTGCCATGTTGGCATACAACACCGCAGTACATTCGACTACTCATTACTCACCATTCGAACTGTTGTTCGGGTACAAACCTCGCATCCCAAACTCTGTCTACGATGATACCACAAATCCTACCTACCCGGAATATGTCAAAATGTTGCAACACAGAATGAAATATACTCGCGACAAGGCAATAGAGTATATACAAAAATCCAAATTAAACTCTAAATCCTATTATGACTCGCATACACGTCCCGTAAGTTACAAAGTTGGAGATTACGTGTTATTAAAAAATCACGTCAGACAACGCAAGGCCTTATCCCCATTGTGGAAGGGCCCTTACAAGGTTACTAAAATCCATGGTAACCATACATTGTCTTTACTCATAAATAGGCGCCACGTAAGGCACCACTTTGACGAGGTCAAACATGTGGAGGCTCAAGGGCCTTCAACCTCAACTTAAATATAGTCTTAATTAACATAGGTAAATAAATTAACTTTTAAATCTTATATACAAACTACATATATACATAATTTACACTTTTACTTAGTTATACGTTTACACAAATATTATCAATTTATTATTTTTACATAGGATTAATATAGATATATACAAATAGTACACTACTTATACAGAGTTCTGTATATGCCTCTTTTCCTTACAGCATACTGGCCCAAGGTCATCCGGAATATGTCCGGAAGATCGACTCAAGCTCCGGTATATACTTTGACCCAATTGGTGAACTCAAAATTCATGTAAGCCACTTAGATATAATAACTCCTTTGGATATCTCGTACATTGAACCACACATAAAAAATATCAATTCTGTATTAGGCACTTTGCGTCTTATATGCAACCAAATACAAATTGAAACCTCTAATAACTTAGAATGCCATAACACATTGTCACCTCTGACAGTTAGGTATCATGATTTAGTTTCGGAATATTCAGCTATCTCTCATTTAACAGACAAAAGGTTCAAACGAGGGGCATGGATAGGTGGTATTGGCTCTCTCTCCAAAACTATATTCGGAACTCTGAGTGAGGATGATGGCATCAAATATGATAAAGCCATCCGAAGTATGCATGATAATGAGAAAAGGTTAGCATCATTAATGAAAGAAAATATTTTGGTTACCTCTTCCACCTTATCAAAATTTAATGAAACTTTACATATAATAAACAGTAATGAAGCTAGCCTTAACCAAGCTATCGATGATTTCTCTTTAAAATTAAAAAACTTAACTTTAATCTCAAATGAATTGACTATAAAGTCAAACATAAACTCAATACTCAATAGTTTAGAAGCATCCATACTAACGTTATCGTTCCGGCTTGAAGACATAACAAGCGCTATCACGCTTAGTAATAAAAACATTCTGCACCCGGCTGTACTCCGTCCTACGGAGCTATACCAAGAAATCGTCGATAACTATAGATACTTACCTGTAGATTATAAGTTACCTGTTAGCCTAGCGTTAAATAATATTCATACTCTGATGAATATATCTAGTATAGTATGTTATAGTTTAAGCAACAAGATTGTATTTGTATTAAAGATACCTTTAGTATCCCCTAAGGAATTCAACCTGTATCACAGCATTGCACTACCTACTCCCCATGATAGTATAAATCCAAACTCTTTTACATATGTAATACCAAGTAGTAAATACATAGCAATGACCAAGGACAAATCAGAATATTGTAATACGGACTCAATATCAGAATGCATAACGATAAACTCCCGCGAATATATTTGTGACGTCATGACAGTGTTCCCGACCAGTGCGAATCCGAGTTGTGAAAGTGAATTAATGATAAATGTGATAAAAGTGTTACCGGTACAGTGTAAAACCGATTTCGTTCACGGACACATAGACTTATGGAAATCACTTTCCAATAATAATTGGATATATGTACAATCCCAAAATAATAAATTATATATTGAATGTCCAAATCAAGGAATTGTTGAAATAAATATAATTGGTACAGGAATACTTACAACCCCAACTAATTGCATATCTTATTGTAAAAGCACTAGGTTGATACCTAGACTTAACAATATAATAATAAACTCCACCGTTGTAAAATCCGATTTTAATATTATTAATGACTCTTGTTGCACTTTAGATAAGTTTAAGATAATAACAAGTAACGAGGCTCCTTTGAAATTACAAAATATTGACTTGGACGTTTTTACACAAGAAACAAAATCAAGATTGAGATCGATATCTGACCAAGCAGATTCAATCTTAAATCAACACCAAATTATTAAATACGAGACTCATTACTCGATATTACTTATAGTTATAATCTGCATTGTTTGTTCTTTCTGTATTTTTAAAATAATTAAGTTTATTAAATGTCGCAGCCGTCTTACCTACCTTCTTCCCAGACCTATACAGCCTACTCCAGCAGACCTTCCTTCTGATCAACCAACAGAGCATGAGCCAGGTTTACCTCTAAAAGTCATAAAACATCAAGCAGATGTAGAAGTCATCCCATGTCCCAGTATTCGCAGAAATATATAAAATTTGTATATATATGTATATATACCCAGACTTTCGAATACCTTCCTAAACATCGTATTTTCAACCCCAATGTTTAGTCTACCCCTGGGAGGTGTTATAGATAGTATATGTATCCCCTTTAGCACACCATGCACCCTTGCCTTGCACAGACTGCAAGCTCATCATTATGTACTCATAGCCGCCAGTCCCATCCATACGATCCGCAGTCTCGATCCAACTTCCTAACCAGACGGCTGTCCTACTAAATAAATAAAATTGTTTTTTTTAAAAAGCCATTCTTCCCGAGGCTCATAACAGTACGCAACATAAACAGTCGTAATTTTTAACGACAACGTAGAAGTGTGATTTTTTCACAGCTTCAAGGAACCGTAGAGTTGAGTATATGTTTAAAAATTTTACTCGATACCTCCAAACGCTGCCGAAATTAAGGGTCTTGATAGACAGGCAGATAGACGGCCGTATCTTTTTGTTCATTTTCACTTAGGCGTTTAATTTTCATCACTGCTTCAAAGGACCGCACATCTGAGTATATGGTCCTAAATTTCAACCCGACACCTCCACGCGTTCCCGAGATAAAAGGTTTTGACAGACAGGCAAACAGACTGACAAACAACAAAGTGATCCTATAAGGGTTCCATATTTTCCTTTTCAACTAACTATAAGATCTATTTGAATTGGCCTGGCCCTATATACTCTTTTATATGAGTAATACCAAGAGGATGAAACATACCTAACAACGGGCTACACATCCAGAGCGCGAACACATTTGCACCCAAACTTCTCGTACTGGGCTGCGTCAGACCCAACTCTTCAGTCGCCAGTATTGCGTTAAGAAACCTAGTCGCAGTTACACAGGTAGGTACTTCCTCTGAACTCATCTCTACCATGATAGCGGTCCGAGACATGAGATACACGCATGTCACTGGGTTCGACGTTACGCTGGACGAAGATGCCGTGCTGACTGATGATCCTGAAAAGGACCTTTGTGTTGATATCATCACCAGCCTATTAAAGTCCCCCCCACTGCTGGGGTACAGGCCTTCCCTATGGATAGAATAGGGAGATTGGGCCATACATTACCCACCACGCGGTCCCAATGCGGATTGGCTGCATTGAACGACTGCAGATGCACCCGCGACCAACGGCTTAACGTGGTTTCCGAAGCACTGAGGAACTCGAGAGGATAAGTTTTGGTCACCCATCCAATGACCGACCATTGTGAAAATTGCTTAACATCCACGATAGCCGATGGCCGAACGTGCTATTCACGTCCTGATATCCCGTGATAAATCTATCTAGCGCGACTATCGTCTCCGTAAAATAACGATTTCCGATACAAACATGCACCCCATATTTTAATTATCTCTATAAGTTTCATTTTCGCTACAGTAAAATACCAAATTTTGTTTCTTTCACTATAGTTAGTTAGGCATGAAAGACAAACAGAAATATAGTGGGGCACATTCGATAGTTCAACAAAAAAATAACGTGAGTGTCGTGGAACACTCGCCGGTTGGAACGAAGTTAATGGTAGTACCTACATTGTTCACTGAGAGGAGAAAGTGACCGGGTGTAGTTCGGGTCTAGGCAAGAACCCTCCTAAATAATATAGGATACTATATTATATAGTAGGGTTCTTGCCAACCCTATTATATTATATAGTGTTCTCCTATACTAGGCGATCAAATACTATATTTAAAAAAAATACTAGACGTAACTACTATATTTTGCTTAGGCCAAAAGGCCAGTAAAAACTTTCTTAAAATAAAAACTGAAGTATTAAGGTATAAAGCATCAAAAATATACTTATTTCAAAAATAAAGTAAATATTTTTAAACATACTATATTTTTTAGTCATCTACTATATTTTTAGAGATACCAGCTCCGAAAATACTATATTTGATAGAAAAAAAGATTGTAACCCTAGTGTCCGATGAGTTCAATCCCTAGGTTCTGAAATTCAACTTTAACAGTGTCATAATATTCTTATCGTCGTAAGTACCAACTTACCAGGTAAAGGGGGTGATATAGCGCTAGATGTGCTGCCACCGCTTGTGATCGGCTCTGTGGTGCTGAAAGAACCGGCGGCGATGCTACTGGATCCAGTCTGATTGGAACAACTACTGAGGTTCGATCCTGTGAAAGAAAAATAATCAGTACACTTAATTTCTGTTGGTCAAATCAATATACTATGTTACTAGCGGCCGCCCGCAACTTCGTACGCGTGGAGTTAGTTAGAAATAAAGGTTCACTGCTCGTTCTAGGTGATAGCGTGATAATATGTAGCCTATATGTTGACTCGACTTCTTAATAATATTTGTGCCAAAAAAGTAAATCCATGCAGTACTTTTTGAGACTATCCCGGACATACATACAGACAAACAGACAAAAATTCTAAAAGCTATATTTTGGCTTCGGTATCGATTGTAGATCATACCTATTCAATGTACAGTTTTGACTTTCCTACCATTTTATTATATGTATAGTTAACGGTCCTTCGAGCCGAACAAAAAATGTTTGTGTATAGATTGTCGGCAATCACAATACAGATAAAGTAAAATATGGAATATTAGAAATAACGCAAAAAAGACGCAATGGCCTCATACGCTTGCTGAAACTAGTCCCAAATCCCGTGGTGAATCATGTTGACGATGGCGGCGGTGCTTCGAAAGGATACCGTGTTCAGGGGCCTTATATTCCTTCGGCAAATAGAGTTAGTTACCTATTCATTTCCTACGCCGATGAAATACCAATAGGTGGATTTGGTTGATGGTGTTCTATTAAAGCAATGTCTCGCTGTGACAATTGAAACTGAGTCGCCTTAGCGATCGCACTCAGATTCCTTCTCTGAGTTGATTAAGGTCGATGCTACCAGTGCCACTTTTATTGAGAATGCAATAGGATAAGAGAAGACTGCCAAAAAAACGATTTACAGCCCTTTCATAAAATCAACCAAATTCATTAGTCTAAACAAGATTTTCCAGTAAATAATATGTACCGAAACAAAACCTTACCCATAACACTCTTCTCCAAGGAGTCTGAGCTATTACTCTCTTTCGAGTCTGGCAATGGCTTGTGCGGATCATGCTTGTCCCAGTCGCTATGTCGACCCAGAGGACTGTACGTCAGGTGGGGCAGCCTCTGTGAGACCGAGTAAAGGTGCGCGTTCACTTCTGCCTGCAGTTTCTGGCTCTGCACGCTGTAGTATTCTTCGCGTGATCTGAATTCACTGGAATGTTCACGGCGGCTTTAGAACTTCGTATTACTCGTACTACTAGAGGCCATGATATAAAATTTTACTAGTAGTTCGGTTTGTAGTTCCATTGGCCGAGCTAGTTAAACTTGTCACTTGTAACTTGAAACAGTTGTTCGGTTGGTTTAAAGTTTAAAGCTCTCTAAACTTAAAAATAAATTTAACATCAGCCTCTCCTTTTCATTCTGTATAAAGTATGACAGCGATACACTGTTGTCAAACGTAAGATTAAGTTTAGAGAATCATTATAGGTAGTAATATAAGTTATTTACGGGATTGTTACCATGTAGGTACCTTGTTTTTAGCGAGTTTCCGATATTTCAACACTGTTGCAAGTGCCATGATCACGCTAAAAACAAGGTACATGGTAACAATCACATTAATAACTTTATTACTATAATGTTAGTGATCATGAAAGTTTAAAACAATATATTAGAGAATCATGTCGGAATCGACACCATTGTTTGTAATTAATAGTTTATTAACACAAACGTTAGCTCGTTTTAAGTTATTCCGTTAAATTTAAGTTCCTTCTTATTACACTACTAGATGGCGCTGTTATCATTTGTATATAAAGTTAAGAAACAACTGTGAAAAATATTTTAATTTTTAAAACACGAAGGCTACATTTATAATAGAAGAATATCGTAAACGAATGTCCGTAATATTTATGTTTTCATAACAGGAAATGGAAAGGAACTTTTTTAAGTTTGAAAAAATAATAATCAAGAACTTAATTATGATTTAAAAAAAATAGCATATGTCGTAAATAACCAATTAACAAAATAGTTTAATTAACGATAAATACGTTAATTTTAATGTCATACTTGTATTGATATTCAGCTTGCATAGGATAACCACGTCTGGAATAATCAACGGGAATTATTGTTATATAATTCCCACTGTTTTGCACATTAGGATTCTCTCCGTAAGCACCCATTTCAGACTGATGTTCCATTTATTTATTACACTGCATTATCAATTTCAGCTCCAGTTCCGTGGAAAACTCAAAACAAACCATGTATCGATCACTATACGCGCCTCAAAATGTTGCCATGGTAAATAACCTTAGGAAAATATAAAAAAAACACTGTGTAGTGTGTAGTGAGCACAGAACAATATACTCTCTACGAGGTAGTGAGTTTGTTTTGTGTAATATAAAACATAAACAACAAATGAAAATAGGTTGTTTGAAACAATAAATAAGGAGACCCGACCTTACAAAAACAAAAGCTACCTTTAATAAATAAACAAAAAGCAGGTTGCCTGGGGACCATTCTTGCTTACAATTCATTTGACTTTAATTATTATTAATTAATAATAATAGTTAAAACAAAGTTATATTAATTACTATTAAAATAATAACTGTACTAAATAATAAACAATAAGCAGCAACTTTAATTATTACTATTATTATTAATTAATAATAATTAATATATCTTTGTTTTTACTATTATTATTAATTAATAATAAAAGTAATAATTAAAGTCAAATGAATTGTAAGCAAGAATGGTCCCCAGGCAACCTGCTTTTTGTATATTATTTTGTCCAAAATAAGTGAGGCGCTATGATCGCTAAGTTGTCTCAATAAAAGCGGACTAATTTGGAATGACCAATGCCGCGAATAAAATTTGTACAATATTCAACTAACTTCATCTACTTGTACACATAAACAGTAGTCTGTGCAGACAGTGACAGTTGAATGACATCAATCAAACTGAATCAAACTGTTGATTCTTGTAGCTTGTAGCTTGCTACATAATATATAGTGATCTGTGGTAGCTTGCTACATAGATAGTGCTCTGTGATTCTTCATTGCTGCTGTCAAATCAAAAGATTTGCTTTTGCCAAGTCCTAGTACCTTTTCGTTTTTATTTATCGTCTAAGTTTACGTTTTTGCACAGCTGTTTTGTAATTTATTTGCTTACCAAAAAGTGGTAAAGAAAAAATATAGAAAGGTTAGTTTAATGATGCAAAAATGAATAAATAACTACATTTTGTACTCGTACCCTTGCTATTTTATAGGAACACAAGCCCACTGTGATTGCGATAAATATTTTTATCAATAAGTTAGTTTCCGATAATATCACGCATGGAGGCCAAACTCAGAGAATATCGTTCTCTCCGTCGACGCCAACAAATTATAGATAACGCTAAAGAGAAAATTCAAGAGTCTAAAGAGAAACTGGTTAAATTTCTGACACCGAGTTTTATAAACGAAATGGGTAAAGAAAAGGAAGAAGAAGTGCTGTTGGTGAGTAGAGTTAACTCGCTAAGTTGCTAATTATACCTTCCTTGTCATGTATAACATTTCTCTGTTTTTCAAATATGTTTACAAACAACTTGCAAACTTGTTAATATCTTATTGGCTTTTTAATTGAACTATTTCAAAATTATTTATATTTTATTTTAAGCAGTTATCTGCTAGATGTTTAAATCTAAAGAGAATTCAGTAGAAAAAGTCTGGGTTTGAGTCCTGTCTGCTGTCTGGTCCATATGGAATTTCTGTCTAGTAAAATTTTCTCGAGATTTATTTCAAAATTGTTTTCTCAGATGGATAATGAAGAAAATGATCATCAACAAATATGTCCAGAAGAGCTAGAAAATTCCAATGATGTAGCATCAAATCTCAGCGACTTGGAAACCACAGTAGAAGAAAATACTGAGTCATGGACATATTTCACTGTGAAATGGACTATGTATTTTATAATATGGCTTACATTATTTGTAATATTCCTTAAGCTTCAATTTGGTGCTGTATTTTTCGTGATATCTGTATTAATAGGCATCTGTTTAAATACAAGGACAAGACCTAAAAGGAAAGGTGAAGTGTCCGCATATAGTGTGTTTAATCAAAATTGTGTTAGTATTGATGGCACTCTTAAAGCTGAGCAGTTTGAAAGGGAAATCATGTATGGTGCTGGCAGTGTAAGATAAATGTAGCTTTATGTATTGAAATCCTATATATTTTTGTATAAAAAAAGACTAAATTATTTATTTTATTAATAAACATGACCTGGGGTCCTATTGCCTATCAGGATTGCTTTAGCTATTGGACACTGTAAAAGTTGCCCTAAAACCAGCTTCCTTATTTCCATTAAATATATCTTTCATTTGATCTCTATATTTTTTTTTCATTTTACACCTGGTTGGTATCAATTAAACAAAACAAGAGTATTTAATGGCCATGACATTGATTAAAATAGTAAAATATTAAACTGTTAATATATTTGTTATATAAAATGCAGTTGTATATGAAATCTTTTGTTAAATGTATAATTTTTAGTCTGTTCTTTAAATAAACAAAATGTAAATTACGAAAATACTTGAATTAAGATCTTGATATCTTTAGCTAAATTTTACTAAAAGTATAAATTAATTTATATAGGTATAATTTTAAGCATGGATTTAATAAAAGCCTTTTTTCATTAAATTAAGATTTGGTTTTTTTATTGATCACAAATATAAATTGACAACAAATATAAATTCAGTTAGGTATAGTGAATGCAAAAAAAGTATACATAAAATATTCACATGCAGCAATACAGATTACAGATACTATAATTAGTTTTGCTAACACCACTTGCTTATAATTATTACAAGTAACTAAAATTTCTCGTTTGTTCAATGAATATTGATTTCTCTAGGTAAACAAAACTTAATATTTTTTTTATGAACAAGATTATATGAGGTGCAGGGCTAATCCAGTTCATTCTGTTCAGGAACAGTGACAGGCAGCAGTAGCACTACATATTTCAATATAAAACCATGTTATATTATATACTAGTTGACCACCCATACTTCGTACAGGTTAAAATAATTTGGAAGAAATGACGGACCCTAGTCTACCGTACCAAAAGGGACGAATGTTTGACAGGAAAGAAGATAGAACAGTTTATATGGGAAAATTAAATTGGCGTTCTTACTATCTTCCTCGCAATTTATCCATATTTTCTCACCTTCTAAACCTTCCCCAGACCTCCACGAACATTTGAAGACCAAGATAAGATAAATTCATTCAGCCGTTCTTAAGTTATAGCGTGACTAAAGAACAGCAATTGATTTTTATTTAAATAGATTAGCAAATGATTTAAAGATAGGAAATATTTACAGTTTAAATTTTTCAGTTCTACTATTTTTACTAAACTTTTGTAAGGTATGTGTTAAGAAATTGAAATCTATATAGGTATTACTATCGTTGTCGAAAAATGTTTGACATCTGGTCTGGTATAGCCAAAAATTACTTAGATATCTAATATTTCACGAAAGTATATCGTTAATCTGTCCAATTTTAGATGGGTAATTAGGGCACTTAAAAATAATAAAAAAAAGTTAAAAAGCGTTAAGAATTGTATAACAATAAACTGTGACAGTAAAAAAAAGGTTTATAAATGAACATGTAGTCTTTGTGATATAAGCCACAATAATTATTAAAGTATATTTCACAAAATCTCCTCTACGTTGTCACTATTCCATTATCAGATTAATATAGGTACATAAAATATTGTTTTGTCCATAAACATATGTATTTAAATGTTTGAAACGGAAACAATTTTGAGCAAAGTATACTTGAGGAATGTAGAAAAGTTAGTAAAATCACATTATGTACGTATTTTTTTGTGTTACATCTATAGTAAAATATACAAATTAGTGAAGGCATTTCCATTTTAACTATATTATATTACATTGACCCACTAACTTGCACCAAAGTTCTCAAGTAAAAAAAGTGTTTACCCTTTTTGATTTTATCAAGTATAAAAGTCATTCTATGTCCATTAACTTTAACAGGTGAAAAAAGTTAAAGCATGTTCTTATTGAGGAGCTCGATGGCGGGGGTGGTTAGCTGCTGTTCGGCTGCGATCGTTGAAGTTAAGCAACATTGGCAAGGTCGGTCATTGGATGGGTGACCAAAAATCTATCTTCGGAAGGCACGTTAAGCCGTTGGCCCCGGCTGCATCTGCAGTCGTTAGCGCCCGCCAATCTGCACTGGGCCCACGTGGTGGGTTATGGCCCAATCTCTCTATCCCCAGCAGTGGGGACATTAATAGGCTGGTGATGATGTTCTTAAAAGTTGCACTTTTGGCCAGTAGACAACCCGTTCATTGCAGTAAAGACTGGTCTAAGCTAAGATGCTTATTGGGGAAGTAAAGGAAGGCAAATTTCTATTTTCAATAGTGAAATTTAGGACGATTTTTCAATATCTTTTTCTCGTATGACAAGAAGCCGGGATCGTAACTGGGTACTAGGGTAATCCGAGAAATGCAATATTATAATTATTAGAGATCGATTTAATGATTTTACGAAAATCTGGCAAACGGATACAAGTCCGAAATGATGTCACACATTTGTTTACTTTCTGTTAAAGTGACAATAACTCAACCATGTTGATTTACAAAAAAAATCAAAATATTTTCTCAAAAGTTACGTGGAAATTAATGGAATGAATTGAAACTATTTATATTGCCAAAGTGCTGACCGATAAAATTATTGTAAAGATCAACTGAGTACCGCCATAACTTTATTTATTAGAACTTTGGTGCAAGTGGCCTTTAGGAGAAATATTTTTATTGAAAAACAATGCAACTCTTTCAAAGTTACATGAAAACATAATCCATACATACAAAATATTTTTATTGAAAAACAATGCAACTCCTTCAAAATTACATAAAAACATACTCCATACATACAAAAAAGGCATACCATACTACAGATAAAACTTATCACGTAGCCTTTAAACCAAATCAAGGCTAACGAACGTAACGGGAGGAAGGAATCTTAATAATTAGTGTCATCTGTAAAGCTTTTTAGTTTTATGGTAAAATTTGCCAATGAAAAAATCATGTTCAACTACATAGGAGAATGTATCCAGCTTAATATTAACAATAACAATAATTATTGAATCTCTATTATAATGGCACGAAAATCTATTACTTATATATTATTTATAATCATAGTGGACAATATAAGGCACCTTTGAGAATTACAAATGATCCGATTATTAAAATAGTATTGTGTTTACAGATCGCGCCAATCTTCTTGTCTGCTCTGAACACTACACAATTCGCGTCGCTGATAAAAGACAGGTTTATAGAGGGACGATGATTGCACCTGCGCAAAACAACTTCAAAGCGAACTATAAGTTGGGCGCAATCTATAATGCGATGGAAATTAATTGGCGACTGTGATGTGAAGTTAGCGCAAGTCGCGGCACAGTAAACTAAATTTAAGCGCTCGCTGCTCACTTCACAACCGCAATATACTTTTAATCATACTAAGTTTAAGATTGTTGAAAGAGATACAAAAAATTGGCGAGATGTTAACACTTTGATCTATGGCATTGTTGTCGGATTTGGAAAATATAAAGTTTAGACTTCTTACTTTCGCGAAGTGTCGATTGTGTCCCCACTTATTAAGATTAAGTGTGAGTTGCACCACAGAGCTAGTTAAAATTAAATTTTACTATAACTTTAACAGTTATTCTGGCATGGTTCTCTAATCCTAAACTTAAATTTGACAACAGTGCATCCTTGCCATTCTCTAAACAGAATGAAACGGAGAGACTGAAGTTAAATTTTGTTTTAAGTTTAGGAGCATCATGCTAGTAATAGACACCACTGTCACTTAAATTATGACCTTAGTTTGACTATCGTCAAATAGTGCAACCCATTTTTTACCTAACCGGTACTTTACGGAACAGTTAAAGTAAGTTGGTGCAACTGACGCTAATAGAAAAAAATAACAGTTTGCTACTTGCAAAAATCTACTTTACACGTTTTTATGTTAATAAAATATGTATCGTAATTATAATTAAAGACAACTACCAATTATTCGTTCTACATTGGTCTACGGCATATCTTTCATTTGACAAAATAACAATCAAACCGGTTAAAAATATACAGAATAGTTATTGCATTTTCAATAGTACTCTATTTTGTTACAAGATTATAAAAGGAATAACTCTGATTGTGAACTTTTTACAATAATAACATTTTATATTTTAATCGGTATAGTCGAGGGTTGGGCAAACTTTTTCCTTATTGTGTCAATATATAATCAGAAACTATGGCAGGCCAGATTTGCAAGGAAATAAGGCAGCGCCCCTACCGGACGTAAAAACAAACTATAGCTTAGAAACTTTGACGTGACGTTACAAATACTTTCTCGGTAATTGTTCGTGCTTGTGGTACTGATCTGATTCCTTTTTTTATATAAGTGCACGAACCTTTATTTTATCAGACTAATTTGTCATATATACAAAAAAGATAGATAGGTAAGAAACTAACGAAACAAAAGGTATTGTACTGTACGACAGACAGTGTAGTGTAGACAGTGGTGCCGATTCTGACATGATTCTCTAAACGAAATTTAACATCAGTCGCTCCTTTTCTTTCTGTAAAGAGAATGACAAGGATACACTGTTGTCAAATTTAAGTTTAGGTTTAGAGAATTATGGCAGAATCGACACCAGTAACATGTAGGTAACACAACATTTTTTAAACCAATTAATACTGGAATATATGTTATGTAGGTACCTGCAAGTATGTAATGGTAACACCGACCAGAAAATATAGAGATGTTTCTTTGACCTTTATTGGTCCAATCAGTGATCAAATAACCAAATTGGGTTGACCCCAAGATTACATTTGAACACATGCCAATTTAAACGCCAAGGCAAAAATATTAAAAAATTAGACTACTAAAAACCAGTAATATGACAAATTTAGAATCGTGAGATCAGGTCACTGACATGTAAAAGACAAATTTTAATTAACATTCAATCTGATATCAATATTACAACAAATCAGAATTTCGTTATTAGATTTTGGGAATTTTACAACCAAGCCTGACTTCATAAGCAACTAATAAAGAGATACAGTGTAATACGGTTCATAACACGTAATTATAAATTCAGATAGGTACTAATTTTCTTTTCAACAAACAATAACTCCTAAAATATTTTAATAACTGCTTTGGTATTATTTAACAAATATAATTAATAAATACTAAATTCGTCTATCGGAAAATAATAAATATAATGAGAAATGTATTAAGCATAGATTCTAAGGCGGTTTTTTTTCAGTGTAAACACGTTTTGGGCAATGATTCGGTGAGTAAACAATTATCTCATATAATATTCTGTATTTGGAGGAAAAATATTTGACAGTATTCTATTTGTTTAATGGTCTTGAATAGTAGATTTTCAGTTATTTTCATTTGATACTTTTTATACGAAAATTTGTCGGTTAAAAGCCTTGTTACACTATATCAATAACAATTATTGTACGAAAACAGGCAACATATTAAATTACTAAGAGCTCGCTAACCACAGCTAACTAGATCCATTTTTTAAATAATTATTTAAACACAATAAATTGTAATACAATATTTACCACAAGTCATATCATTTGGACTTGATTTTAATTTACACATCTGTTCTTAAACATTAAAATTTACCAGTACGAAATCAGCTACACCAATAAAATTGGTTTACTTAATGTCATTAAATGGGGCAATGTACTCTTATAATGTTTATCTCCCAATATCAATTTGCTAAATTTCACAGTCTTCTTGTATTTGATCAGTATAATAAGTATTATTTACCCTATATAGCTATTGTCCTCCGACTATTTCATGATTCTGATTACACTATAAAACAATAAAATCTACAACACACTTACAAATGAAATAAAGAAAAAATGGTAAAAATCTCTTCTGTACTCATTTCTGACTAGGAGGAGAAATGCTTTGCAGTAACATTTACTACTTACAAACTATAAATAATTGCACCTTTTTTTATACAAAACGGTTAAAATGTAAACAATAGCAGACTTAGTCCGCAGCGATAGGCTGAGATCGATTGAAAACCCTGCAAAATGGCAGTTTACATGAATTCGGATTGGGAACGAATGGGTTGAGACCCTCGCTCCTCCTCACGTCTGGCAACAGGAAAACTACGCTCAAAGCGATTATCATGTGCCATATGGAATGGACGATCTTGTAATTTTGTTCAGTCTGCAGGAAAGCGTAGCAAATTAAACCTACAGAAACTAGAATTAGGCCAAGGGGCATGTAAATGGTGTAATACGATCTGGGGTAGCGCATAATGCGCGTCCTGCGATAATCTAAATACCAGGAGAGTAATAGCACTCCCACACCGACAGCAACGGGGAGTAAGAAGGCCACGAACGAATGCATGTTCCAAGTTGTTAGCAACGCTATCACTATTGCACCTATTAATTGGATGGAGGATCTGAATTTATCGCCTACGATGCTCATGGCGAGGAGCGTCACCCAGAAAGACATGAGACCGCAGTAGAAGTCGCCGAACTGGAGAATGTTACCTCTCACCATGCAGTAAGCCACTTGCGCTGGCGCATCGCACGCGTGGTAGAATGTCGAGAAGACCATTGTGAAGGCATACATCATTGCTTCGGTGTAGTATAACCTGATGAGGGCTACGTAGATGGAGAATATGAAGAGAAGATTACTCAAAGTGAGGAGCAGTATGGAGACGAGCATGTATAACCTGCTGTCCATCCTAGAGTCGTCGGAGCAGTCCCAACCTGGAATCACAATTACAAGTTTTCAAGACTAACTGAAACAATAATTAGTACCTTTTCCTTTGAGGAATCGGAATTTAATGATCCGACACCAGGACAGTAGCAAAAAAAATACAGGAATAAATTAAATTCCGTCCAAGTTCTTATCAGAAACTGGAATCGAACCAACGTCTTGCGCTATCCGGGCGAATACACAGTTGAAATGTTCAAATAAAATGTCAGATTTTAATCTTTGATTATTTACTCTCCAGATAGAGCGTCACTTGTGTGACTCATACGTAAAATAAATCACGAGAATCTTGTGTCTTACACTTGCAAAGTATCATTCTTTTTGTCTCGGTGCACATGCGTAAGATAAGTTTTAATACTAGGTTAGGCCACATTCCCCAAAAAAAGTGGGTAAAAGTTTACCCACTGTTTGATAAAGTAATCAAATCGAAATTAATATATTGTTCACACAATAAAAAATCATAGACTTTGAAACATCTTAAAACGTATAAATTTATACTTGGATATTTAAAATATTTATTTTTACAATATTTTGTTTAGTTTAAACAGTTTATTACGGAAATAACAGCCATGATAATATAGAAATAAACAACAAAATTGAAAATTGGTTGATATGTGGATGTTTTTTCTAATACAAATTTCTTGAGATTTAATTTAGAGCTTTTCATTTTAACAATGTGAGTATCGATATCGTGCAGATTATTAAACTTTTCTTAAAAAAAAGTTGTATAAAATACGCCTTTATACAAAATAAGCAAACAAAAACAGTAGATATACACTCAGGTCATACGATGGTCGATCAAAAAGTTCGCGGAATGATGGGAAAGATCTTTTTATCTTTATTTAAGGGTTTTAGTCACTGGGTGACTATGTTAGCCTACAGTGTTAACAGTGTAGCCCGTGTGGGGTTCAGCTTTACTCACCTCCCAGCCTATATCGTTATCAGTAATATACGCACTAGGATAGAACCGTATGTTTTTCCCGGCGCACAATACCCGAGATGAAGGGGAATATGGCAGAAATTCAACATGAAATTATTTATCCTTTTCATAAATAAATATTCCCCCTTTAGCCTTATAAGGTTTCAGATCTTTCAAATTACTTATTTATACCTTTGCAAAAAAAATGTTTTGACAAGCTCCTGAAAACAGGTAGAAATTGTAGACTTTAGTTGTTCGCAATCAGTAATTTTTTATTCGAAACTCTTTCTTCATTTTTGAAACTTCACAACTTTCACTTAAAAGTGACGAACTTTAATTTAAAAAAAATTATGGTCATAAAATTAGAAAAGGATTAAAGGTTCTATATCTCTCAATCATCCCGTTTCATCGGTAAAAGTACTCAGTCTTAGTTATACAGTATGTCCATGGGAATAAGTTTTTTTAAAAATCTATTAAATTTTTGGATATATTAGCTATTGTATGGGCAAATGTAGCTGTTTCAAATAATTCGTTACCATTTCGTTTTTAAAATAATTTGCATCTGTGGTTCTGTAGAGTAACTTTTATTGACCCACATATAAATATATTTTAGCATATAACCGCGTCAACTGTTTTATTATTAGAGTAGTATTTTATTACGCCATTTTTTCACATGTGAGAGCTAATAAACCGCAGTCAAAAATATTTCTAAAATATTTTTTTACTCAATATTGGAAGGTGTTTTGCAGTTTGTTATGAAACGATTAACGGTAAGTGATTTTTCATTCATTTGTTTTATTCTACGCTTCAGTAAAATCTCGTTTTTAGAAATGGCTGCGTTTGCCTCTTCAAAAATTGTAGCTCCTATGGTTTAATTTAATTTTTAACATTATAAATGAGACTATTAGTTCTACTGTGGTAGTGCCTGGTAATATCAGTTTCTACTCGTATTATATCCAAAGTTATCGAATTACTAGTCTCAGCACTAATGTAAATGGAAAAATACACAATTACCCCCTGATGGTACTTTAAGTAAATTTTAGCGAATTGAACTCTAATACCGAGCATTGAAGTACAAAATTAGTAACATTAAGTTTGCCCTGACGTTTACAGTTAGTTTTAGAATTTAAGATACACCAACAAAGACATACGGATGGTTAGCTACATTTGCTCCAGATCGGCGGCAAATGTGATTATTGGCGGCTTTAAGTGGAATATCTTCAATTTAAAATTAATTTATCAACCTGAACTCGTCCATGTCTTTCTATCAATCTGAACTCGTCTACGTTATCATTAATACAAGTTCAATATAATCAATCAATTGTATTTAGTAAATTGTATTAATAATGTAAAAATATTAAAATCACAATTTTGACCTTTATTTTTTAATAGCTACTATTTCCCCGGGTGACCTTACAGTTTTGGTGGTAATTAAATTGACATCGATATAAAAAAACTTTTCTCCATCGCTCTGCTGCAATCGGTAAATATTTTGATTACGCCATACTTACTTTTTTGGAGAATTTTGTAATGAGATACTGACATCACTATGAAAATGTCAAGGTGGAGTCGTAAATTTTTTAAGTAATATGATGTTTTTATAAGTTGAATAATGGTGTCGATTCTGGCGTGATTCTCTAAACTTAAAACTAAATTTAACATCAGTTTCTCCTTTTCATTCTGTATAGAGAACGACAAGGATACACCGTTGTCAAATTTAAGTTTAGCTTTAGAGAATCATGCCAGAATCGACATCAATGAGTTACTATCTGATGGTAAATGAATTTGTTGGTTGTTTTTATGCGTCCTTTATAATTTCGGCAAACTTTGATCACGCAGCACGACATTTTTAAGCAATCACTAAGTGATGGAATACTACTTCGACTTCAACAGATTTTTTTTCAACGCATCTGCGCTGCCGCCCTCTATCTAGAGAGTAAATAATCAAAGCTCCTAATATATTTTTGAGAAAGCAAAACTTCCATGACCACATCTAATTATAAACACTACATTTGGCATTGTTTTGGATAGTACTTCCTACTTGAACTTAATGCGATATTAAAGCATCACATCTATATATATAAAACTCAAAGGCGACTGACTGACATAGTGATCTATCAACGCACAGCCCAAACCACTTGACGGATCGGGCTGAAATTTGGCATGCAGGTAGATGTTATGACGTTGGCATCCGCTAAGAAAGGATTTTGATCAATTCTACCCCCAAGGGGATAAAATAGGGAATGAAAGTTTGTATGAAACTTTGTCAATTTTAAACCGATCGGGCTGAGACTTTGCATGCAGGTATAAGAAGAATCATAGATGAATGTCATTATGTATAAAACAAGCCTGAGAACAAAAACTGTAGTCTACACTTCAGCTCTACAACGAAGCGAAGAGAGGGCGGGTCGCTAGTGAGTATATATACCTTCTACAATAATGCTAATGCGGTTACTTTACTACTGATCGCTGGTACTTACTTCCGTAGCCTGCTGAGCAGGAACAATATGACATTACGAGCCCGCCGAAGGTGTTCAGCAGGCAGTTGCCATGGTTACTGCATCTCCCACCCACACACGACGTCGAAGACACAGAGAGCACCACTGTAGAGTTACACTCGGAAGTCCCCTGCCTCGTGTTGTTTCCCAAATCAGTCGAATATACTTCACCGTCTTTATCTATTGAATCCGACTCGACGTAATACTTCGTACCGTTGTCGAAAGTGCGACAGGGACAAACGGTTTTATCGCAGAACAGTTTCAATGTCAAATACCAAGTACCACTGTCAGGGAAGGGAATGATAGTTTTGTCATGTATCGTATCGGAATCGGTGCTGTTCAGCACAAACAACGCTGGCTTCACTTGATCGTTGTACTTACAGTGGCCAGTATCTAATGGTATACTCGCATGGCCAATATCTAAGCAAATCACAGCTTTAAAATACTGATTGTCTTCAGTAAAGGCAAGTAATGATCCCTTTTGAAGCTCCCTCTTGAATCCCATATAATACTTGATGCTCATGAGCAGGCTCGCTTCTATAGCAAGACTGCCGCCTATATCCAAGAACTGGTTGACCTTGAATCTTACACTTTTAATTTCACCAGAGGTTATGTTGATTAAACTAGTAGCATCTTGCAAATCCGTTGTGGGTAAACCGTAGTCGAAAGTGAAAAATCTACCTTTATCATCGCGCATAAGGTCAAAAACAGTGTTATTGTTGACTTCCTCTACATCCGTTTGGAGGTAATAGGATTCGCAATCAGCTATCTTCGAGGTATCATTGAAATGGTCAAACTGAATGTAATGCCATGCGCTCGGATGCGGGTAGAATGTGACAGTTTGAAAATTATCCGCTGTTGGATCGAACGCGCAAGACACGAGATAGTTCTCCTCTGTCGGCAAAGACAATGCTTGCACTTTAAACGCTATCTCTGTGGTAGCACTGCCAGCTTTCAATATCGTTATATTTAGGGCTATGGGATCCGTGCTGTCTATAGACATGCACTTGAACAAGGCGGGTATTTGGGAGTAGTCCAAAGTGATGCCATTGTAACAGTCTATTAACTCTATATTGTTTTCTCTTTTCACTTGCAGATCTGTGTACAGTATCGTTTGGCAGTCAGCAACAAGACCTGCGAAAGGCAATGAAATATATTAGTAAGACTAGGACTAAATAAATAATCGATGTCATTTGTCCAGAATCGATATATTTGTTTCTTAGGTTTTCACGCACATCACCCATTAAATAAAACTAGTTTTAACGGGTAAATGCACGAAACTTTATTTAGTTATTGACGTTTCGCAGCCTTTTCAGGTCTGCTTCGTCGGAATAATGATTTTTTTTTAATTTTGTCGAGCTACCTTTGGATAAAAGTCTTTCGAAGGTAGCTCGACAAAATTAAACAAAAAATCATTATTCTGACGAAATAGACCTAAAAAGGCTGCGAAACGTCAATAAATAAATAAAGTTTCGTGCATTTAACCGTTAAAACTAGTTTTACAGAATCGATATATTAATATATATTATTTGTAGGATTGAAAGAGCATTAAAGGAACGGCCACATGATTACGATAACGGATATACCTACTACAACAACGTCACAACAGATGATACATAGTATGTACATACGTTTATTTTTAATAACACATCAGTAATGTTTCGATGGCGCCATTTAGTCGTCAATCGAATCAAAAATGCTCCTGTCTCGTGCTTAAAGTTCCGTTTGGAAGTTTATTTGTGTAGAGAGCACAAATATTTGCTACCAATAATGGTTCTTTATAAACTTCTATATAAACTCTATCGTACAGTTTCCACAAAGCTCTGCTCCATTTACTGCCTATTCTTATACCTGAAGCTGGGGCACAGCAGGGTATCCTATAGATGAAATAAAGAAAAGGGTCATATCTCATCACCACGCTCATTCAGTGCGGACTTGTGGGTGCTTAAAAGCTTAATTACATTTGGACATTAGCCCGTATTCGAGGGCACGAAAGACATTACTCGAATTCGGACACCCGAAGCAATATTTACACTGGAAGACGGTGTCGGATAACCAAAACGAAAACTACCCGAATACGGGCGTACTCCACGCAGCTACATTAAGTCGTTTACCCGAATTCCATTGGCACTCTTATTCGGGCTAACGACCAAGTGTAATTGCGGCATAAGACTGCAGATGCAGCCAGGATTGGCCGAGACCAAGGATTTAAAGTGCTTTCTCTTCGAAAGGTCAAGTTTTGGCCACCCCTCCAATGACAATCCGCTGCGAAATATGCTCAACTCTCCCAATCACAGACTAAACCATTGAGCCACCCAGCTTATAAAGCTCTGCCTAATTTGAGACTAAATAATTATTGCAAGTGATTATGTAAGTTTCCAAAACCACTCCTGTCCAGTGATCGACTTTAATTTTCACGATAAGGTTAGTTTTTCGATCTCATATCAGCATGCGTGAAATTAAATAATAAATTAATATTTCCAGCACTCACACCAATTAGCCTATCACCAATGTAAGCACTGTAAGGCTTGTGTTAAAGGTTACTAGGGTAACGGATAGAAAACATATACTGTAGACATATAAGTTTATTTATATAGTACACTAGCGGACCCGACAGACGTTGTCCTGTCTACACGTCTTTGTGAATCTAAACAATTCTCAGATCCCCTTGAACACACACAAAAAATTTCATCAAAATCGGTCCAGTCGTTTAAGAGAAGTTCAGTGACATACACACTCACAGAAGAATTATATATATAAAGATATTCAACATACATGACTGGAGTACAAATGCTCGTATTCATAACACAAACATCTTCCCCCTCCGGGATTCGAACCCGGGACCTCTCGAGTAGGTGACACCATGAAACCCGGCGTACAAACCACTCGGCTACGGGTGTCGTCCTAATTTTAACGTCCGAATTATAACATTGGATCTTTACAATAACACATAATGATAGGTATTTTACATTGTTGATAACATCTGTATTGTGGCCGTGATTGAGGCCGTAAATCTGATATCGTACGGTTGCAAGATGCAATACGAATAATAGTTAAATACATATGACACGACACGAGACTGCTAAGTGGGCGTTATAAGTATATATATGTTAGCACTTCAGTGCCAATAGGCGTAGTACGTAGGGCTGGCGTGGAACATAGATTTTTTATTTCCATATGTAATGAGAAATATATTTATTATTATTAATGCATACAAAGCTTTTGACCCACACGTGCTTATATATTGAAATGCCTGCACTTCACATGGATTCTTATTGCTATATGTATATATGCGTGTGTGTAAATGACACAAAAAACCTAACTTTTAGGTTAGTAATAGTAATTTTAAATGTTTTATTATTTTTAGCGTATCATTTAGGTCTCCTTTTCATTTCTCAAAGAACATGATTGTGAGTGCATGAACTTTGAGCGCCTACGTGAGGTCTCAGACTGCTGGTAGATTATGACATTTCTATTGGGATCTTTGGCAAAATCTAAGGAACATTTTACTTGAAAAATAACTCAGCCCAGGCATCTGGCTTGTTTTAAACTAGCGCCATTAGCTTTCAGGGCGAGTGCTGCTTGGTTGCTTAAAAAAATAAATAATATATAATTATAACTGCTATTTCTGCCTTCAAATATTTTATACTTGTAAAGGTATTCATTTGAAATTGTGCGTTACCCAGAGAAAATTCGACACGGACAATAGGGGTGATGACGGGGTACAGTAAACGAAATTCTATTTAGTCCGTCAATTAGATGATCAAAAAATAATGGACACGTATTTTTTCTTTGGGCAATCAACCAAAAAATGACAAAGTTATAGCGCGTCAAAGTTTGGGAGTAGGGGCTCGTGACGTCACTTTTGAGTGAATTTTCCCTTATAAGTGTACTCAAACGTGACGACATGCGACTTTTCAAATCAATATATCTCTGCAATGTTTATATTATGTGAAAAAAGAAAATATACGTGTCCAATACTTTTTGATAACCTACCTGATAAACGAAGAAAAAAAAAATAGTCATCATCCCTATTAGGGTCGCGGTCGCATAATGGTCAGTGCATCCGCCCGGATAGCGGAGGGTGCTGGTTCGAGAGTCCTGTCTACTGCCTGGTCCGCATGGTTTTTTTTAATAAAAAAATATTTCTTAACATTTAAACATCTATTAGTTAAATACTTGTTTGAATAAAATATTATGTGCATCCGGTTATGATAAAACTGATTGATCACATTATTTGTTATCTGTTTAGTGTTTGTACACACTCACCTACTGATTTGCCGATTTGCGTGTCTGCAGTAATCTCCAAATGTTTAACTTATCTTTTAATTATTCCACGATTAATTTCCCTTTATTGAATAAAATGCGTGAAACTACTAGCAAAACGTGTGCTCTATCCGATATTCAAACACGCCACAATATAACATAACAGTAAGGTAAATGTGTTAAGGTATATTTATATTCAAAATCTGAATAGTTCTAAATGCCCAACAAGCTTGCCGAGGTAATTCTAAAGTAAACATTGTTTGACCAGGCTTAAACTATTTATAGTGTCTCACAATTTACCTTGTAACAGAACTAATAATAATGATCAAAATATATTTATTTGAACATAGATATTTTACGCGGTTTGGTGGACTAGGCTTTAATAATAGGTGCATGGGTGAAATACCACTGTACAGACGCGGAGGGGGACTACACAGTTAGACGATGAGAATGTAGGCCAGCGCGCGTTGTCCTCTGAAGAAAAGAGGAAGGTGGAATAAGAGAGAACAACTCCTCAGAACACTCGCCGTGATACAGACGATAGAACGCGCTTAGTGACGCCAGGTCACGGTGTAATTGAAGAGGCTCGAGGTGTTTACTCACCTCCTCATCGCCATCATCAAATTGATGAAATTATTAGGCGCTTTAAATTTATAACTTGGCACAAAAATTAAGTGGTAAGTGACTATTACAGTAGTGGGCTCGTTTGAACGAGGAAACTTGAAAGTTAATATGAGGAAACATCTCAAGATTCAGGTTAGTATTATATTAAAATAACATTTTCCTTAAAAACTAACAAGGTATAACAAGATTCTCCAGAATACCTCGATTATAAACATAAATTGTTACTGGATTTACCCAAAGAAATGTTCATGTCAAAATTTTAATTTTTTTTTGGACTTGCAATGTTAGCTATATTAAAAACTTTTTATCTGGGTTAGCTATAGTTGACAACCATACGCCTTTGTCATCGCATAAGGGCAGGAAATGGCAGACGAACAATCAAGTTACTGAGCGCCGGCTAGCCGAGGCCAATCTGAGTGACACAGATTTCGTTCACACGATGCATGCATCCAACCAAATACAATTCACCCGCTATATAGGTAGTATAGGAATCATGAAAGCGAGGCGAATGATATTTCCAAGCGTTTGTTGCAAATGTAAACTAGTTTATTTTTTATATTGGCTCCATGTTTTGTCCTTCCGTCCTTCCTTACCAGTAGGTAGTTAATCCCTAATATTAGTTAATCTAGTAAGTCCTCTTTTTTGCTAAACTTTGTTTTGTACATACTCGTAAAATCTTCCTTTAGGATGCATGAAATCATAAATGATTCAAAATACATGTACACCCTGTATATACGTAACTTTCGCAATGCGTGAATGAGTGACAATATCTCGAGCCCTTCGTGCTTTCGAAGACACATTAAGCCATTGGTCCGGGCTGCATCTGTAGTCATTGGCACTCTATGGCACCAAACCAAAACAAACTGAGCCCTCGTGGTGAATCATAGCTCATGACCTAATCTCCATATTCCATCCAAAGAAAGGCCTGTGCCCCAGCAGTGGGGACATCAATAGGCTGATGATGATACGAATATAGATACTAATTTTATGGTTTCTATTACCAATAATATACTTGAAAAGCATAAAGTTAACCTCATTGTTCAAACGAATACAAATATATAAACACGTCTACGCTACGGATCTTGCCTGACAAGAAATTGAAAGGTCTTGGATTCTGACAAAGAACAGGAATACCTGTTACATGTAACAATACTTGGTACATTAAACATTATCTTCACTAACCTTGCTGCTCAACTTTCTGCGTCCTCGGATCCTCCCATTTGATGTAAGCTAGAGCATACCAGTTGCCGGGCCTCGGATTCTTTATCGAGTACGTCCGGTTCAGACCATCTGAGAGTAGCTCGAGCGTATGAATGCTAACCCTGGTTGCCGGGTCCACGAAACCCTTTGGGAAGTCGTAGCCATCTGGATTCACCGCAGGATACGCGCCATGCTTGATATTAACAATTACCTCTTGAGGGCTGCACGACCCTAAAAAGAAATGAGGCTATTTTGAAAGGCGCTTGATTCAAACTTAACGTCATGCCTTTAACACAGGGGTAGATACGCAGTTACTTCATTTGCTATGATTCAAACTTGGACCGCCAGTATTTTTTTGAAAATAAATTCAATGTATATATATATATATACTCCAGTACGAAAGTTGTCTTATGCAAAAAGTTGAGGATATTGTGTCGGTGCAGTTTACTGTTTAATAGTAAAACATTACAAGCATAATAAGCTGAAACAAACAGACCTATGTAAAAAAGACATATTATGTATCATTATTACCATATACCGTTCCTAATCAGTTCTGTTTGAACTGATTAGGAACTTATCTTTGTCAATAAACAGTATTGGAGGGTGTTGAAAATAGGTCATGGGGCATTGATCACCGGTCCCTCGTGGACTACGTCACGTGTTAGATAGTTGGCCATATAATATGTCAACGACTTTCTGGAATAATCAATGATACATACAGGCAGGTATACATGCAAGTGTCACGTCACGCAGTATGATTGCTTTTAAACGTCGCTCGTCCAATGAGTGGGCAAGTCAATAGTAATACAAAAAATACCGTGGGTTTGTTGGCGAGTCGGTAACCCTAATGTTAAGCTAGTGATAAGATCGGGAAAGAAAATTTCCCACCTCTACTGGTGCTGTGTTGTTTGGTGTGAATTAGAGATGGGACGGGTACCATGTTTGGACCCGGTACCCGTCTGTCCGTCCCCGACTTTGCTAGGAGACTGTTAGCACTAGGGAGCTGTAATTTTGTGGAAATATGTATATCAATCAATCATGCCGACAAAATGGTAGAATAAAATTTCGAAAATAATTTTATTTTAGGGTAGCTCCCCTACATGTAACCTGGAGATGATTTTATTTTTTCACCATCTATTTTATTCGTTTTAAGTATCATTGCATAGCCCCTTTAAAATTAAGGGTCCAGCCGGGTAAAGAGTATCAATGCAGAGAAAAATAATGTCTTATAATTAAAAAAACATTTATTGAGCAAGGAAAATACCTTCAGATAAACTATTATATTTTTAACATTAGTAATTCAAAATTGGCAAATTATGATGTAAGAACACCAGGTTTTCTGAACGATTGGCGTCAAGTCTACTTCTTTACTTTCGGTAATTAATCCTGCTCAAGACAATAGGATTTCATTCTAAAGAAAACTTGCAGGTGTAGATAATATTAGTCGCATTGTATCACAATATCATGTCAGCGCTGCTTGTACCCGGCGTTAATTATGCCGGGTACTCGTTTCCTGGCTACCCGGCAAAATAATTATCTGTCCCATGACCTGTGTGCTAGCAAATTACCTTGTCGAATTTGCAGCCAGCCGCTAATAATGGGTAAAAACGCCAATATCATTATGAGTCCCATGTCTTGTGTGCTAGCAGATTACCTTGCCGAATTCGAAGCCAGTCACAAGTAATGTGTAAAAACTAAGCTTTAAACTTTTACTGGCTACTAACCGTTCTCGTGAACAAACTTACAAGGCGTGCCGAGGAACTCCACGTCGGGTAGGAACCAGCCCGTCAACAAACGCCTACGATCTCACACATACACTATAAACATTGAGCGGTACTTATGTATTATGTCAATTGATAATTAAATAGACTGTACGACATTTTAGGATTAAACGTTGGGAGCACCGTAGGCAAGCTTCTCATCGGCGCCCCTATATTAAAAATAAGTCGTACTATAGTTTGCCCGAAACCGATCCGGTCGATGCGACGAACATTGCATTCGTATCTTTCCAAATTTTATCAGAGATCATGTACCATCGACAAGGTTGTTTGTAGGTGTAAGTATTACTCAGTCCCATCCGTTAAATTAATCTTTTGTTATAGATTGTAGTAAATTGAGGTTGTAAGCAAAATAATAGTATTTATTGTGTAAGTAGGTAGCTTACTTACTGGCTCAATTAATTTTATGCTATGTATATATATATTTTTCTTATTTTACAATTCCACCCGGGCGCCCCTAGGCACATGCCTAGTTTGCCTTAAGAATAATCCGCCTATGCTGGTCGAGATAATTTAATAAAAGAGTATGCAACACCCATTTGAATTTCTTTATATAAGGCCCATCAAAATGATTTTGATACCCTTACCCTGTGTAGAGCCGAGTTTTTTTTTTATAGATAGGTCCGACAAATGACTCCACCCCACCTGATGTTAAGTGAAGGTGAAGTCCAAGATAGCTGATACAGCAGTTCTACCTGCCACACCAGCCATCCTCACCCTGCCGGCTTGCATGTTGCTAAGATTACGGCATAAAGCTTGCTACTCCCCTCACCCTCGCCCTATCAATCTAAGCCTTATTGCCCAGCCCTGTGTAGCTCCAGAAACATAAGAGTGATACAGAATTTAGCTGCAGAGTCTTCTGTTTAAGCTTTTTTCAGTTAGCTGCCTACTAGAGGCATAAGCATGCACCATTGCATTCTGAATGTCTGCAAGAATATTTATCATCTATTGATCATCATTAATGACAGTAAATTGCAATAATGGCTTCCATTGAGGCTTGGCTTTTACCTTTGTGCTTTTTATTTGTGAGGTCAGTTCTCATTCTGCCTTCCAAAACCAAACACAGAATAGATAATAATATGTTTCTCGCTAACCTATGACACATTATCATCGACATAATTGTCTAATGACCAGTTGGATAAGTGCAATGCCTTTTCATGACTCATTAACACTGAACTGATTGTGGAAGCTGCATTAGTGCAGAACTCATGAACATCTACAAGACAATTTTTAAATAATATTGTATGAAATGATGGAATATAAATAAATAATTCATAAATAATTAAATAATAATTGAAAAAAGAACAGTCAGTAGAAGTAGATTATGTTTATAGTATTTTCGAATAGTTGTTTTTGGTTAACTTAATAAAAAAAAGCATGAATTATATCCCTTTGGACTGTTGCCTCCCCTGATGGATTGATCCTCCCTAAAATATTTAGATGTGTGGGTTGGAGTTCTAATTTATCTTATGACGAATACAGTAATGCTTAGTTGGTACTAATAAGACTGCATAAAAAGCATTGTCATGAGCAAAAGGAAAAGGAAGTTTAACATTCCCTGCTCTCCTTGGTGGGGAGAGTTTTTTAGAACAGTTGATAAGGTGTATAAAGGATTTGCTTTGTCGAGTCTTAGGAAGGGCTGCGTTAATGTATATTGTGCTAGAGACTGTGATGAATGATTGTGAAGATATATATAAAATAGTCGGCCTCTAACATATATTTTGGATAGTGACGGTCTTACCATGCTTACTCCAATGCATTTCTTATGTGATTTTACATCTAATTCTTTTTTTTTTTTTTTTATAGTTAGGTCCGACAAATGACTCCACCCCACCTGATGTTAAGTGAAGGTGAAGTCCAGACGCGAAGATAGCTGATACAGCAGTTCTACCTGCCACACCAGCCATCCTCACCCTGCCGGCCTGCATGTTGCTTCTTCACGCCTCTTTTAAAGGATCCCAGGTTGTAAGAGGGAGGGAACACGTGAGCGGGCAGAGCATTCCATTTACGGATAGTGCGACAAAGAAATGAGTCACCAAATTTCTTTGTACGCGTTGGAATTGTGGCCACAGTAAGACGGTGACAACGTAGGCCAGCGCGCGTGGTCCTCTGAAGGAAAGGGGAAGGTGGGATAAGAGAGAATAACTCCTCAGAACACTCGCCGTGGTACAAACGATAGAACGCGCTTAGTGACGCCACGTCACGGCGTAATTGAAGAGGCTCAAGGTGTTTAGTCACCTCCTCATCGCCTATGATGCGGATCGCGCGCCGCTGTAACCTATCCAAAGCATCGAGCAAGTACTTGGCGGAGCCATCCCAGAGGTGCGAGCAATATTCCACGCAGGACCGCACTTGCGTTTTGTACAACAAGCACAGTTGATTGGGCGTGAAAAAACGCCGCACCTTGTTCAGGACTCCGAGTTTGCGTGAAGCTGTTTTGATCACGGTTTCGATGTAGTCCTTTGGATTCAGGTCTGAGCGAACTTCCATACCGAGCATGGAAATGTTGCTCTGCAGCGGTAGTGTTGTGCCCTGAAGAGATGGAAGGGGAAGGAATGGCGATGTTTTTGCCGTGAAAGCGCAAGCCTGAGTTTTCTTGGCATTGAACCCAACCAAGCTCCTGGTACCCCATTCGGAAATGTGGTCCAAAGCCTGATTGAGTTCAATGACAAGATTTTCCCGTTTCTCCTTGGTTACTGCCTGCCCAGCCGCTGCTTGTCCGAGATACCCCGCATGCACTGTACTATCGTCTGCATAGCAATGAATATTCCCAAGAGGAATCAAGTCATTGATATGCAGCAGAAAGAGAGTGGGGGATAGGACGGAGCCCTGGGGAACGCCGGCATTCACTGACATGAACCGCGAACTGCTACCATCCGTAAGGACACGAATTCTACGCTCATGCAGGAAGTCAGCTACCCAAGAACAGAACTGGGCTGGCAGACCGTATGCCGGAAGCTTGGAGAGAAGGCTTTTGTGCCAGACCCTGTCGAACGCCTTGGCAATGTCAAGGCTGATAGCCAACGACTCGCCACGCTTGTCGATAGCCTCACCCCAGATATGAGTTAAGTACGCTAGAAGATCACCCGTCGATCGTTTCGGTCTAAATCCATATTGACGACCATTAATCAGGGAGTGATCCTCTAGGTAGCGGGTCAGATGGTTATTAAGGACCTTTTCTAGAACTTTACATAAAACTGAGGTGACTGCTATTGGCCGATAGTTTGCCGGGTCTGAGCGATCCCCTTTTTTGGGCACCGGTTGCACGTTAGCATCTCTCCAAGTCTCCGGCACGCGCCCCAAAGAATACGAGCATTGGTACAAGCGCGTGAGCACGGGAGACAACTCCGCTGCACATTTTTTAAGTACTACTGCTGGGATGCCATCAGGTCCACTAGCTTTCCGGACGTCGAGTGATTGCAATTCGGCACGAACCTCACGCTGCCTGATTTTAATATCAGGCATCGCTGTGCCACAGTGAGGTAATGATGGTGGCAGTGCATTGCAATCATCGATTCGGGAGTTAGCCGCAAAGAGTTTTGCCAGTAAATCGGCTTTCTCCTGCGGCTTATGAGCTAGTGTTCCGTCTGGGCATCTCAGAGGTGGCAGCGAGGGCTGGCAGAAGTTTTCTTGCACGGCCTTGGCCAAACGCCAGTAGCTACGGGAGCCCGCAGGATGCGTTATAAGTTCCTGGCCAACACGTGCAACACGCTGGGCATCCGCTCTGATGTAAGCCTTCTTACAGGCCTTGGAAGCAGAATTGTAGGCTGCTTTGAGTGAATCGACCCCGGGATCCTTGAGAGCGCGGCCTCTGATCCAAGCACGATATGCCGCTTGCTTACGCGAAGCAGCTTCAGCACAGTCGTGATTGAACCAGAGGTTACGTGTGCCCTTACTGATGAGATCAGAATGAGGAATATAGTATTCCATACCCATTATGATCTCCTCAGTAATGGCAACGGCACTGCCCGATAGGTCCCTGTCACTGAAGCAGCGCTGCTTCCAAGGGACGGACGCAAAGTAATCACGCATACCGTCCCACTCTGCCGACCCATAATGCCAGATACGGCGCTTGACCACTGCTGGACGCGGAGGCTTGGCCTGTGGTGCTTTGGCAGATATCAGGCAGTGGTCGGACGAGCCCAGGGGGGCTCTTACCACAACCTGATAGCCCTGTGGATGGGTCGTGAGCAGAAGGTCCAGCAAAGAAGGCGCTTGACTTGGAATATCTGGGATCCTGGTGGGCTGATCAACCAGTTGCTTCAAGTCATGCGTGAGAGCGAATGTGTGAGCAGAGATCCCTGCATGGTCAGTTTTGGAAGAACTTAACCACAAATTGTGGTGAGCATTAAAGTCCCATAAAAACACCAATTCTGCATTGGGAAATCGCTCCTGCGCGTCATCTGCTGCCCGACTAAGGTGTTCAAAAAGTCAAGTTGTCTCAACATCGCCGGTGTGGGATCTGTAGAGGCACACGTAGACCGGCCGGGCCTTGGCCCGGGGGCCAGAGTCGACGTGTACCCCCAGCATGGAGAAGGAGGGATCTTCCAAGCAGCGGAGACGGTGACAACAAACATCCGCCCGAACATACAGGCATACACCGGCTTTCGCTTTGAAGGACTCTTCAAGCACGTAGCCGGGATAATTAAGGTAGCCTGTGTCAGCAGGCGGAAGTATTTGTGTCTCCGTCAGGAACAACAATGCTGGCCGTGCTGTCTCGAGATGGTGGTGGACAGCGTTGAGGTTAGAGTGGAGTCCGCGTATGTTGCAGAACTCGACCTCAAACAGCGTTGAAGGCGTGGGGGTGTGCACCGCTGTACGTCCAAACTTTGTTATTGAGGCTGCCATGGTGGAAGTGAAAAAAAAGAGACGCGAAAACGAGCGGACGCCGTCGCGAAGAGTCCAGGCAAATAAGGGGGGTTTGTCTTCCCGATTGACTGCCTGCAGTGGAGATGCGCCGACCCGCCGGACGGAAGAGCCCCCGCACCCCCCCGGGAGTGGCCGCCGGGACCCCACGCCCCGGTCACCAACCGGCACGACGGTCCACCCCGAGATTATGCGTGACATGATGGGGCAGCCTCGCGAACTGGTTAGGAACGCTTGGGCCCCTGTACTGTGTCACGGGCGGCCAGCGGGACAGCCGTTTCTACGGGTCTCCCTGGCCGACGGGTCGATGCAGTCCTCCCGGCATCGGTTCCACGGATGCCTCCCCTGGACCGAATCCTTCGCGACAACTTCCACTCGAGCTCTGGTTGTACGCTGGCTGAACCCGAAACGCGCGAGAAGCACTTCACGGGTTTTTCACCATGCGCACGGTGGTAACAAACCAGGCGGGTGTTAGGCACCCTACCACCAGAAGAGCGGATGGAAGCTCCGACATCCCTTAGTCGCTTCTTACGACACCCACGGGAAGAAAAGGGGCGGTGAGTCGTATTCTTTCTCCGTCACCGCACGGATAAAAATTCAGTTAATGATCTTGATGCTATTGCTAGTAAAAGCTTAAACTCTTGTCTTAGGTATTTACTAAGTTTAAGATGTAACTTAAGAGACAGATTAAGGAATGAATATTTGGGGATGTTATTACATATGATGGCTGCATTTAAAAAATGTTGCCTGAAGTGAGGCGGACATTGTATTGGTTGGGACTGATGACAAATGTCAATTTTGGCCTTTAGGATTAGTAACTAAATTCCCAGAGCTGCTATTGTAAAAGTAAAAAATACTATGTTGACAAGACCTTTCCAAAGGCTTTATCCACTGGAAGTTAATAAACCATCATATTATATGATCCGAGCTGGCCGTTCTGTTACAGCCTGGACGTCTTGTTTGTATGTTACTGTTAATTATGTTTTTATTGTTGTTAATTCATAGTTAGTTTTGTTACCTTTTTTCGCTCAGACTGGAGGATATAAGAACCATTTAAACCTCAAATGGAAAAGATTTATATTATTGTTTATTATACACAATATGGGACTAAATAAGTGTCAATAAATTCATTGAGCTGATCCTTTTCATTGACATACTAAATAATCAGTTATAGTTAGAAGTGAATTAATAGAATAAACAGATTTCACACAATGCTCACAAATAAAATTATAGTTTTTACTGTTTAAGAATAGTTGCATCAGTACTACAGAAATCCAGATGTCTCCCATTGGGCATCAGGGGAGACAACAGTCTAAAGAGAAAATATTGAACTAAAAGCAATGAATTTTCTGTTACAAGTTTTGTAAACAAAGAAGCATTATTTGCAGCCTTGTTAATGGTGCACCTACCAATATTATTCAAATGCAGCTCCTCCGACTGGAATGTAAAGCGGGCATCGGTGACACCCCGCATCACGGGGTAAAATATAACAGAAACAGTGCGATAGCTCCTAAACATATATACATCTGTGGCGATCTGTCTAGTCACCAAATGGTAGTCGTCAAGTAGCACCGTGCGTGTTCTAATCAACTGCTCGATTATTCTTTTCCTGTTACCATCCTCTTCAGCTTCCTTGTCCCCTGCACTCGCTACACTACACACGTATAACAATATAAAACAACAAACTCTCATTTCGCCCGCGTACCTTCTACTACGAACAAACAGTCGAAAATTATTGTAAAAACTACTCCAAACTTTAATATTATTTTGACATTTTATTGTCTATTAAAACACTGCGGTAGTGGCTGCGGGCGGTCAGCAAGGGTCACGTTAAATACAACACACACTTCAACAGTCATAAATCATGCTTAAAATATTTGCGACCCGCCCGGAATACCGATATTCAAGAATTGAAAAGAATACCAGCAGTAGTGTGCCGTGCCACAAAGATGAATTCTGCTTTGATTCTGCTTCTTCTGTCTGTTCATTTGCTTTTTTTAACGTGCTCCCTTTTCAGGTAAGGCAAAAGAAACAATGTCCGTACAGCCTAGTCTTCAGTTTTTCTTGTTTTTTTTACATTAGAATGTAGGTGTGACGATTTCTAATGTTTCTTGGAGTGTTGGTACGAAATATTGCTTTCTCGATAAGCTTCTGTGAGGTAGTCAACACTACAATAAAATTCTCAAATCCACTTGACCGGAATAGAGTATATTTTATAGATTGTACTAATTGTTCAGCTGTGCAGACGGTTGTTACACAAAATCACACCAATTTTATTTCACTATGAACGAATTAAAGAATAATAAAAACAACTCGATGAAATCCCGGCAAAAATTTCTGGCTCAGCTTTATTAACATAACACATTTACACAAAAAATCATAGACCAACCAATACTTTGCCATACCAAAATCCTTAGCCAAATACAAAACAAACGAAAAAAAACTATTATCTATTAAAACAAACGACTTTTGAACTTTTTACTTGACATTGGCGCACAAACCGTGCTTTTAAACCGTTTTTATGGCATAAAAAAGAAAGAAGAAGAAGACTTTTGAAATATGTTTCACGAACATCTATTCAATGACAAAAACAAAGAAGACGACGGCTGCATGGCTTTGCTTTTGCCTTCAACTGATGGGAAAAAATGACATTACTAAAAGTAATGCCACAAAATGAAATTACCCTGAAAATAGGGTAGATTTGCATATATAGGTTTCAGATTTTGATTTAAAAATATAATGAATATTTCAATAAAATTAAATGCTAAATAACGTGGGTGCTGATAGTGAAAAAAAAGTATGCCACAGCAGAAAATAAAACTTGCTAAAGAGAGACCAATCACAGATGTGCAATCTGCATCCAAGGAGGACAAAGATCTCGTATTTGTTGGTTTCAAATGAACTCATTTATATCTAAATGGATATTATTCTTGGAAATTCCAAGAATAATAACCAGCTATTGCTACTATTGGAACCAAATTGGAATAGTAGCAATATTTGTCTATATACAATGAATTATAATAACTAGTATACATGAAGCATAATCTTTGATAATTTACATGGTTTATTTATATATTATTAGATTCTCAATACATGAAATTAAAATGAAGGAAAGGTAGCTAGGACAGTTTGGATTGTAATAAGCTCCTACGATTATAATTATATTTCTTAAACTTTTCTTGTCGCAGGTGCCAGGAAGATAATAAATACTATATCTTATAGGTCAGATTTTTTAAATAATTCATTAGTTTTTTTTTGTCATTAAATTTCATTTTATATAATTATTATGGTATGTTTAGGGAAGATTTCTTCAGAAATGTATCCACCCATAGAAATTTTTTGCACGCAGCGGCGATCACGGCGCGCGCATGTCTCGCTCTTTCTCGTGATAAATCTCGAGTTTGCAATAAATAATGGCTTCGACAGCAGTTCCGAAGCATACAGAATTAAACGGCGAGATGTCGTCGTGCGTGTTCCCGTGTAAAAAGTCCAAAATGGGAAATAATACAGTGACTGTTGTGTTAGGTGCTCAGTGGGGCGATGAAGGAAAAGGCAAATTGGTGGATTTGCTCGCCGTGAATTCCGACATAGTTTGCCGGTGTCAGGTTAGTAGAATGCACAAAAATCATGTTATATTTTATTTACTACCAAATTTTACACGAATGCGCAAAACCGATAATTTTATGACGGAATGTTTACGGAAATTAGCTTTGAGGTTATGACTAGCATCTAACACTATGACTTAAATCGAAGTAATCATTGATTTTGCGAAGTTTTCGTGGTTTTACATGATAATATGGCTGTAACACCAACATAATTGTAAAGCTTGTTTCATTGGCACTTCGCCAGATTGTGTTTGAAAACACGCGTACTGAACACAATGTTTTTGTCCGAAATACTATGTATGATCCAGCGGGTACCGACTGAAGCTTAATTTACGTTGCGTAAACGACACTATTGCCATTATTATGTAATTTAAACACTAATATACGTTTTTTGTGATGAATATTTAATTTTAAGCTAAATAATTGTAGTCATGTGATGCGTATCGCCATTCTAGATTTACAAATAGACCTTGTTATGATTATACTGATAGCTAATTGTGGATTCCTGCCAAGGTCTGGGCCATTTATTGTCATGGTTGTTCTGTGAAGATCACATTTTTTTAACAAAATAAAATTAGCTCTGGTTGGCCAAGACAGTTCAATGAATTTAAATGTTACCGAAATTATTATTACTCTGCAGAAATATATTGTGTTTTCATAATTTATATTTCCATTAAAGATTCTGATATGATTCTCTTAAACTAAATTAAATTATCTGTCTTAAACTAAATAGAAAAAAAAAACTAAATTTAACATCAGTCTCCTTTTTATTGTGTATTGTATAGAGTATTTCAAAGATACACTGTTGTAAAATTTTATTTTAGGTTTAGAGAATCATGCCAGAATTTACACCATTATATAGTGTGTCCCAGGATGAAGTGCAATACTGAAAAGGGGTGAAACTAGACTATAAATGATCCAAAAAAATATTCAATCTTTTATTTCAGTTTTTTTACAGAATTAAGATTTTTACAATGGTTTCTGTACAAAAAATAATATTTCTTCTTTATTAGTGAATCTATTTTGTTGCAATAAAAAATACTGTGATGCCACATACTTGTTAGTTCAATTTAGATACCAAATAACTCACAAAAAAAGTGAAAATCATGGTGGATCAGTAGAAGATCGATTTTGTAGAAATAAAAAATAATATATTGCCACATATTGTTAGTTCAGTTCAGCCATAAAAACAAAAGTAACTGATACAACAAACAAACAATAGTAAAATAAGGGTCTCTCCCTGAGTGGGGAGTGATGTAATCAGTGGTTAATTATGAAAGCTCAGCGTGTTATTTCTAATTAGTGCATGATTTTTTTGTTTGAAAGTAATATAATAAAAAATAAGAATAGATAATAAAATATTCTGGTAAAGGATAGAGATTTTGATAGTGATTAATGAAATGAAAAGGAGTTGAAAAAAAGCATTATTTTACAAAAATCGGAATTTCAGTCATGATTTTAAATTTCTTTGTGAGTTATTTGGTATCTGATCTGAAATAATAAGTATGTGGCATTATGTTATTTTTTATTTCAACAAAATCGATCCACTACTTTTGGAGGAATATAATTTTTTGTACATAAAAGTCCATTGTAAAAATTCAAAATCTTAATTTTGTTATAAACATTAAATTAGATTGAATATTTTTGTCTGTATTTTTTATTACTTATTTATTGTCTAGTTTTGCCCCCTTTCTGGACCAGTCCAGGACTTTAGCCAGGGACACACTGTATATATAATTGTTAAAACAACTGATATGGAGAGTTTTTATCTTGTTCTAACTGCAATGAACCACTCCTTAGTCAGATAGTATATTTAATCCAACTAGTTTCTTTATTAAGCAGATGTTTATTGATGATTGGCAATAGGTTCAGTCAGTACTGTTAATATGTTGGTAAAATAAAATCATTCATTTATTAGTTCCCTAATAGAAATGGATATTAAACAAAAGAAAACATTTTTATAATATGAAAGTAATTTCACTATTACGGGGTATAAAGTGCAATATTTTGAGTTCAATGACCCCAATGTTACCCCAATCCATATGTTCCCTTTAGCAGATCATCATATCAATAAACAAGTAAAAAAGTATATCATTTACAAATATCTTGATAGACATTATGAAACTGATTAAAATACATACTGTAACTTTTACAGTTACATTACAATATAAAACAATAAGGCCTAGATGACAGGGTTAAACAAAACGAAATTATATTTTTAGTCCCTGAGATTACTAAGAATGTGTAATTAAATTTTACAGGAGCAGTAAAAAACTAAATGACATACCTATAGTGAGCTTTTGGAGTGATTTGTAATTTAGTAATTTTAACACTGTTTTTGGCGGTTTTGATTGACATGAGTTGACAAAAGTGTATAAAGTGTATAATATGGTCCGGAAACCTCAGCTCCAAATTAGAACGTGGCTGCGAGAAATAACTCAGAAATCACACTTGACAGAGTGGATAACAGGTGAAGGATACCGGCAAACGAAAAACTCGGTTCCGGCGGCAAATAAAAGTTTTGCCCACACCCTTACCAGACTAAATAGGGACAAACTTCGCAGGATTATAGGAACCCTGACTGGTCATTGTCCCCTAAACAAACACCTATATACAATAGGCGTAACAGACAGCCCCCTATGCAGAGGATGCATGGAGGCAGAAGAAACGCCACAGCATGTCATCATGGAATGCAGGAGCGTGGCCGACCAACGGCAACGACTTCCCCAGTCGCCAGAATCGTTTCCGGAAGCTTGCAGCAGTCTAGCAAGGCTGCTTTCCTTCTGGACCAATATAGGCTGGTTGGAGTAAACGGGAATGTTTTTGAGACACGCACAATTTTCCAATAATTAGGACTAAGTGCGGAAACCACCCTGAAAAATTAAACTAATGAGTTGAAATTTAAATTCAACTGGCCCAAAACCTCCGGGCTGTAAAAATTAAGTATTATATGGTCAAAACCATATGCGTAATTATACCGTTTTGTTCGCCAGATCCTCATGTACTCATATTTTTGCTTTGGTCAATCAACCAAAAAATTACAAAAATAAAGCGCGTCAAAGTTTAGGTGCATGGGCTCGTGACATCTATTTAAGTAAAACAAAATCCAAAACGTGACGTCATGCAACAATAAATTAATATATTCTCTGTAATGGTTTGATTGTGTGACAAAAAACTCGTTTGCGAAATATAAAAAGCCTAACAAAAGCCGCACAAGCCGGGCACCGTTCATTTTGGCCGTACACGCAATCAAAAAGCCTAAATATATCCGGAAGCCTGGCAACGCTACCCGTAAGGTAGACAGTGAAAAGCCGCTTGGGGAGTAAAGTACCTTCTATAAGTATAGCACGTTGCGTGTAGGCCGAACCGAACTTTGGAACATGCCTCCGTATTTGAGCTCGAAGTTCCTTCGAAGTTCAAGAATGTGTCTTTCCCGAGCACGTTATCGCCACAAGCCAATTACTATCTCACTGGTGCCTACGGTTGCCAGAAATAGAATTTTTTTGAGTGTGTACGCTGTTTGTCGCAGATGACCTTACAGCGTCACCGGGTTTGGGGACGGCGAGATCCTAAGGGGACCTCAAGCCGTGAATTGGCGAGTGCCTCTAGAGGTATTCCAGGCGGATGGCATCTCCCCACGGGGGAAGTCTCCTCTCAGTCTGGAGCCTCTAGTCCACTCGAACCTGAAGGGAGAAAGAGAAGTAAATGGGCTAGTCGTTATAAAAAAAAACAGTATGGCAAATTACACAGCGATGTTTAGTTGGTTCAGTGCAGAGTGATAACCGCATTCCGCAATCGGTTCCGTATACTCGTACAAAATTAATGAAACTTGCAATACAGCATTTTTCGATTTGCTTTTTAATATGTATTGTTTTTGTAGCGGGAACAGATACACATATTCTGTCAAATTTCATCTACTTCATGCACAGCCTTTTGAAAGATGTTGTGATGGAGTCCACGGGGTAGGGGATTGGGTCAGGGTAGGCAACGGCGCGAGTGATATTTTTGGTATTGCAAGCTACTATATAGGCTATGGTGGCCGCAGGCGGGCCATATGTTTGTCTGGGGGCCATTCGCCTAACGGGATTGCTTAGGAAAACGCAATCGCTTACGATTTCACTTTGTTATTTCTACCCGCCTGAGGTTTTCAAATGCCTCGCGCTCTTTTTTTTTTCTTTTGCATTGGTAATAACTATATTAAAGAAAATGAGCGTGAGGTATTTGAAAACCTTCGGCGGTCAGAAATAACAACATGAAATCGTAATCGATAGCGTTTTCCAAAGCAATCCCGTTACGCGAATGGCCCCCTGCTTGCCATATATATATGTATATCTTTTAGCATACAAAAAAATGAAGCAAACGCACTCTTAATTTTTTCTTCCACTTCTAGTCCATCATGGGCTGGGTAATAGTTCGCCTATCAGTGGTCAATCATATTTTCAATTATGGAACGCAAATTGTATTTCTTTGTACTATGCGGTTTGTTTACAGATTGCCAATCTTTATTGGGTGCAATGCAACAGTTTCATAATACCTTTTTGTATAGGTACAGTGAAATCTTTTATCTTAATAGATACAAGGTTTGGGCCACTTTCATTATCTATTGTGTTAGAAATGTGAATTGGTTTTTGTAATTAAATAGCTTTTACTCAATTGCTTTAACCTAGGTTACGGTACTCAGAGGTCCCGAGTTTGAATCCCGGTGGGTCAAATGATAGTATGATGAATACGAGCATTTGTCATGGATGTTTATACTTCTAGATAAAATATACTCATATATGTATCAGTTATTCGTTCCCCTAGCATTCCATAACACAAGCCTTACAGTGCTTACTTTGGGGCTAGTCTAATTGGTGTGTGTGTGGGAAATATTAAAAAAATACAAATCAGAAAGTTGGATTAGGTGTAAATTATACATAATCTGAGGGAAATAGCAGTATAACGTTACAAATACTAAACTTGCAATGAAAATATAATGCGCCATGACATGACACAATGAAAATACACATGCACTCATTAGCACACGAAACATCATCATCATCATGTGGTACATTCGCAGCTCAATTATATAATGTTGAGTACGGAATGGAAACCTTTCTTCTTCCATTAAATAATTTATTTTTCTGCAGGGCGGGAATAACGCCGGTCACACAGTAGTTGTCGACGGCAAAGAATTCGATTTTCACCTGCTGCCGAGTGGAATTATCAACAAGAAATGCAAATCTGTGATTGGTAAGTGATTTTTTAAATACTCAATTTGTATCTGAGCCACAGTATTCGTTTCAAAAATTCGTTTCCAGATTCTTAAACCAATCGATTCGAATTTTATTACAACTAGGTATTTTTCTATTTACCAAACACATACAACAACGTATACAACCTTTTGTAGCGTAACTTAGCGACGTATCGTGCGAGACAGACGGATTTTTCATATAATTATATTTGCATGAGAGAGATAAATATACTTTAGTATGACGTAACATTAAACAACCATAGGTCTCGTGATTTTCTCCTATGACGTTAGTTCCAACTGATGCCGTGTAAGGACATGACGATGACGAACCGACTATATTCTATACTCAAAATGATCCTGATCATTTGGCAAAACAATGTTCGAGTGTTGTAGGAAGGAACTCCAATGGCGCAGGAGGTTAGCGCGATGAGCTGCGATCGTTGAAGTAAAGCAACTTTCGCAGTGGTCGGTCATTGGATGGATGACCAAAAATCTTCTGTAATGAGTTACTCCGTGCTTCGGAAGGCACGTTAAGCCGTTGGTCCCGGCTGCATCTGCAGTCGTTAGCACCCGCCCAATCTCCCTATTCCATCCATAGGGGAGGCCTGTGCCCCAGCAGTGGGGACATTAATAGGCTGATGATGATGAAACCCACAGTCACAGATTACTCAATATTTACTACGTAACTACTATGGCACATCGGCTGATTCTCGTACTGCTATGAATGAATACTCTATACTTAGTGTCTGTCCAGATAGGTCGAGTGTCTGTTCAAACATTTCCACCGTGATATTTCACGCCAAAGTTTCATAAGTCTTTGTTTTATATGGTGTTTATAATTTATTTTGGTAAACGTCGCCGCTTTATTTACTATTCCAACAGCTGATAGTGTAACAACACATTGTATCTTAGGTCTATATAATAATAATAATAATTATTATAATAGCTTTTGTTTCCATAATGAACAAGTAATAATAAGTATCATAGAATTATTATCAATACATGCATGAAACAATAAAATATTACAACAACAGGTCTATATATTAAATAATAATTAGCCTTAAGCTAATTAGTTTGTAGCATAATAATTATGCGGATATATTAAAGACGGCAACATTCTTTCAAAAATAAATTGGCATGTTTCGGATGCCAATGTTGATTGTGCCATATCGTTTTGACGGTCAGATTCACGGTCTTAATTGCTGCAGAGGGAGGAAATGCTGCACTTACGTGTTAAATACATTTGGCAGCTCCCGGGATGACGTGGCAATGTGAATCACAATAATTATTCTGGTGAATTAGGGCGACAATAATAATGTATTCATTCCGAACCACTTACAACAACTAAAATTTTCAAACTATCCAGACCTTGTAGTATGGGAACTTAACAGTTCCATGAATGCAGAAAAATGCTTCCAATTAATCCAATCCAAGTTAGTATGAATATGGATTACGCTTAGGCATAGATATTGTCGCACAGACAACCGATGACTGTAGCCTAATGGTTGCATTTGGTAAATATCTGAAGTCCTGCCATCAGTTAAGTATTGCTCACGCCATTCAACTGGCAATCATGGATGTTATGTACGCAACGCAATGAAGACACTGACGATGACACCAATTTGTCGCGTGTAGTAGACGACCAAGAAAATGATATCAAAGACAATATGACTCTAGTAGAAATAGCCTTACTTATTCGAAGAGGAGAAATTAGTAACGAAATTGACATTAGCGACAATGACATAGAAGAAAATGATGATGAAGATGGCGCCCGTTTCAGCAACAAGTCGCTTATTCCAGAATTCAGACCTCAACAGTCATCCAGATATCATGATCTTATATCTAAAGTTCGAAAAGTGGTCGAAACCTTTAAAAGGTCCCCCACTAAAAATGAAATTTTTCAAAAACATATCCAATCTGCTTTCGGACAAGAATTCACTCTGATTTTGTACGCAAAGACGCGTTGGAGCAGTGTGGCTATAATGTTAAGCCGTTTTCTGAAGTTGAAACCGTCAGTCATAAAAGCCTTGATTGATCTCAACATCGACGTTTATTTCACTGAAGATGAAATGAGAAATATAGGCGAGTTGCAAAATATATTAGAAATAATAAAAACGGTAGTGGAAGCGTTAAATATTTAAGTATATTAACATCTTAACTATATTTATTTTTAACGAGAACGAAAGATTTAGAAATTTAAAAAAAAATCTAGAAAAATACTACTCGGTCCCGGGGGCAGACGGGATTCGAACCGGCAACATCCGCTATCCGGGCGGAAGCACAAATTTTTTGCCGCCCCAAAAACTGTCCTCCGTCCGCAGTTGAGTGACAGTAGGTATGATAAATACAACATTTGGCATAGCATAGATAGTATGCGTCTAAGTTTGTCGTGAGGAAAGTGATTAGTTGTCTGCCATCAGGACAGGAACTCGTTAGTGGTATAATTTGACACTTGTGGCGAACCTCCCCTCGCCCCCTGTATATTACTTATAATTTGTTTGTGATAGTTGATACTTATGTTTTACTTGTCATTGTCTCGGTTTGTAAATATGAGAACATATACATTGTTTATCAGTATTTACCTAAGTTTCTATGATTTTATTTATTTTACGTTTATTCCTTGATGTCCCTCACGTTCTCTATAACACTAATAAACACCTTATTTGCTAAGCATTAAGAGCTACAGTCGCAGTAAAGAGAATACACTGTCAAATCCTACGTAGGTACCCAATTAACAAAAATGAGTCATTAAATGCAGCATACCATCATTTCAAACTGAAGTATTGTTCATAATGACATGACGTCAACTCAGCGCAAACCTTGTATAATACCTCTTACTAACACATAAAGTTTAAAAACATATTATTATGGAAATTATCGATAGAAACAAATACAATCCTTGAAAAAAACGGACCTGTGCTATTCACATGCGATAGAAGTGAAACCTACAAAAACCGAGCAAGTGCAATTCGGACTCGCACACGGGTTCCGTATCATTATGTATACGATTACAAAGAAAGAAATAAGATTTTTACTAACAACCCTCATTACTTGGACACAATAAATCGTAAAAAAGAAGGAATATAACATAGCAATGATATTTATTATTGTTTCTTTTTCGGTTATCACTACAATATTCCGCATTCGTTTTCGGCATACTTGAAAAATGATTTTGTTATTAATAAATGTTTTGTTTATGCAAAAGGACTAAAGGAAATAAGGGGTAGCATAGGATACTAAATTATGAGATTCCATACAAAGTTTAGTAATTTTTTAGCTCACTAAACGTGTTTTGGTATTTAAATTCCAACAGGTACCAGTGGGTCTTTCGCTAACTGCTTTTGACCACCAGTGAGCGTCCTAGTCAAACGGACATACCCGTCTCCCTCCGAAAAGGGAGAGTGTTGGGGATGCCCCGGAGCATCATCCCTTGTAAACCCGAAAGTGTAGGTGGCATCGTCATGTTCATTCGTCGGAAGATTTAGTTATTTGCCAGAATTTGAAGTCTGGACAATCCATCATTCCACAATGTCAGGAGAATCCAGACGATTCCCCGACCATCTGGCAACTAATTATACCTATAGGCAACAACTTATTAGCAAGCATGCATGCATCTTGCTCGTACAAAGATCTTGTTCCATTTAATAAAACCTCTTTCAAAGGTTGTTAAACAAACAAGCCCATTTTTTAATCATTTTCCTTGCTGAGCTTAATAATAATAATAAATAATGATAATAATTAAGTTTATTTGCTCTCCACAATCTTATAGATGCTTCATAAGTAACAGATTATAAAACTTAGGACCATATGCTTAGGACTAAGATTGTGAAAGACTGGTGACCAAACTAAGTTGACGCCTGACGACCTCCGTGGCCGAGTAATTTGTACGCCGGGTTTCATGGTGTAGACGACTCGAGAGGTCTCGGGTTCGAAACCCGGTGTGGGCAGATGTTTGTGTGATGAATACGAGCATTTGTACTCCAGTCATGGAAGTTTAATATGTATTTCTGTATGAATATACTTACACGTATATGTACAGTATATGTATTCTATCCTTTACCCTAGTATCCCATAACACAAAACTACAGTGCTTACTTTGGGGCTAGGCTAATTGTTGTGAGTGTTCGAAATATTTATTTATTTATAATGCACCAGCCCGCTATAAGAAAGCGTTACATAAGCAAAAAAAAGGAGAACAACGTTAAATTCTGGTTTTACATTAATATGATCTAAAAGGAACGAAGGAAAAAAGGTAATAAGCAAAGCACACGCACACATTAACGCAAAAATAAATTACATGAAAACATAACTACTGGTGGTACGTTACTATAATATTATGTGTATGACACGTTTTTCCTATGAATGGTCATTACATAATGTTTTTGGCGCTGACACGTACGTCACGTACGAGATAACGCAACGAAAATAGAATCAGCATTGTATTGGAAACGGAAAAACCTAAAATATGAACTTTCCTGATAAAATAATATGTTATCATAAGATCATGTCCTTGCCGATGTCAATCAAAAAAGACAAGTTGACAGTTCTGTTGTTCACATGTAGAGTGCTTGTGGAGTTATAAATAACTAGCGGCCGCCCGCGACTTCGTACGCGTGGAGTTAGTAATTTGCCCATACTTTTTGACCCCTGCTCACTGCTCGTTCCCCGTAGGTAATAGCTATAATAAAAATAAAAATAATAGGTAGTAGATAGTCTTAGTCTTAGTAGTACGGCGGGCTGTTTCCGCAACTCGACACCTAGTGCCTATTTTGCGTAGGGATTGGCATCAGTCCTGCCATCCCAGCTCCTCCAGAAAGCTCAGCAGTATCCGAATGTTGCTGCAGGCCTCTACTATTGCCTTCGGGCTTCCCATTAGAGAAGTCCTTTGTCTTGCAACGCCCCTGCACTCCAGTAGGACATGGGCGCTCGTCTCATCCGCCTCCAGGCAGGCTCTGCACAGAGGGCTGTCAGAAATACCTATATTACAAAGGTGTTTGTTGAAGTAGCCGTGACCCTTGAGTATACCCACGATTTGTTTCAGGGCTGCAGGTTTACCTTAGGAACGGCTTCCCTAGCTTGCCTGCAGTCCGTGAGTTTTGACCAGTAATCGTCGTGTTGTCGTTGAGAGCGCTCCCTTATCCAGGTTCGCAGCTGCCGATAGGGTATGGGTATAATTGGCTCCGGACCAATGGCCGTCCTGCTAGACCCCTCCCTGGCTAAGCAGTCCGCCGCATCGTTACCCCTTGAGCCGCTGTGTCCTTTAATCCACTGTAAGGTCAATCTATTGTCGTTAGCAATATTAGTCGATAGCTAGGTAGTAGATAGCCTGATAATATGTAGCCTATATGTTGATCCGAATTCTAAATAATATTCGTGCCAAATTTGAAATGCAGTACTTTTTGAGTTTATCCCGAACATACAGACAAACCTTAGACAAACAGACAAAAATTCTAAAAACTATATTTTTGGCTTCGATATCGATTGTAGATCACACGCCAAGTATTCTTTTAAAAAAATATTCAATGTACAGTTTTGAACTGTCCTACCATTTTATATAGATACTTCTGCAGTCACCGTCACCGCCTTTACGATATGTCCCGCAGTCAAATTTTAGAGTAAGCCGCGTGTCAGTGTTATTTGAACAAGGCCAATCTTATTACAACAGACAATTACTTTTCAAACATTAATCACCATAAAGTTAAGAAATAAAAGAAGTTTATTAAAATTAAATACCGAGATTCCGGGATTGTATAACTAATCGGATGTATATTTATTTAAAGTTAAATTTTAATTTCTCATTTAAGTATATGTGTTTATAAAACGTAACATAAAATGGTGGTGTGGTTAATAAGAAAACAAACGAATATAAATTTATTTATTCATTAAGGACATCTTAGACAATATTAATTTATATATATATATATGTGTATTTATAAATATATATATAGGGATATTTTATTTATATATAATATATATTTATCGTTTATAGTATAGTTCTGTAGGATATTTTTTTTCACTAACTTTAGTAGCTCGCACTCTATCGCCAAAACATCCGTCTCATACACTCATACTGGTTGACTGGTGGAGAATGCCTATGTCATTAAGTCCACCATTTACTGTATTTTATTTTACTGTTTACTAGATCTCACGGAGTATACATTTAAATTGTGTACCTTGTAGGTAGGTCCGCGACTCGCGGGATTATTTCGATAAAAAAGTGTCTTCCATGATAGGCCAAAATCTCAACTTAAGGGAAATATGCATCCGATTATCCGATCTCAAGTTATATTATAACAGACTAGCAAACCAGTGAACCAAATGTTCACCAAAACCTGATTTCTCGAAAACCGGAAGTGCGTACGTTACTCAAATCCGGTTTGTAGTCTTATCAGACTATTTTCTCTTTTTCTATCTATTACGGTTTGGCCGCTGAAACAGCACCACAGATAGACGGACGGACTTGTCTAATAGATAAGAGATACCTTTTTTATGTTAAAAGTATGGCAAACGAGCATATAGCCCGCCTGATGGTAAGCGGCCACCATAGCCTACGCTTGCAATGCCAAAAATATCACCCCTACCGTTGCCTCATATTAATCAGCCGATGGACGTCCACTGCTGGACACAGGCCTCCTCTAGGGATATCCAAACACATCGGCTGCGCGCTTTCCGCAATCAGTGGGTCCCCCCGACTCTCTTGATGTCGCCAGTCCAACTAGTGAGGGGTCTACCTACACTGCGTTTACCTGCAAGGTCGCCATTGAAACACCGATGCCTTTCCTGACCTAGTCCCATACCCATGGAGCCCTATCACCTTAAACCTTTCATGAAACAAGTAAAACAGATAGTTGAATCCTAATTTCGTGAAAGTCAAATGCGATAATATACATCAGCATCCAGAATATTTCTTAAACATCCGTCGTAAATATCGCGTGCTCCACGAAACGTTGAAACGTTGGCGAACAGCGTAATGCCTGTAATGATGATTTGTAAACAACATGCAAATTACAAAAACGTCATAAAATATAAAAATATTGTGAAGTAAGTACGTTAGGTACGCGAATTTGTACCAGGGCACAGATGGCGTTCAAGGTTCACGGTGACATTATTAAATTCTAAATAATTCTATATTTCTGTCCAAGGTAATTTTGACTTTATAGCGACCGACTGAACGTTAAATTTTATTTTTTTTTGTACAAAACCCAGCAAAACCCCATTACCATTTTACCACGTGGCGCATTGATGTAAACTGATTTTTAGTTTTGAAACTTTGAAGATACAATAAATCAAAAAAAATGGATTTTAATTCAACGACAAAATATATATTACTGTTACGTGATAACTGTATTTTTAAGAACTGAACGTTTACGCTGTGGAGAAAAACTGGCGAAAAGAACTTCACAGAATTAAAAAAAATATTTAACTGTATTTACAAAATCTTATATTGTTACGGTGTCAATACAAATCCATGAAAAAATCATATCATCTTCATCATAATTATAGAAAAAGCCTGCCGGAACGTCTGGAACAGTTTAAACCCAAACATTTTTGTCTGAAGTATAATTAGTTTGAATGTCGGCAGTGTTTCCCCACAGTAAAATACCGTACGACATCACACTATTAGGGTTAGGGTCAAATAAATAAATAAACTCAAAATTACAAACAAGAATTTCAAATAAAATACTTTATTAAGTAAATTAAATAATAAATTCATACATAGACAATAAAATTTAAAAAATCTTCCAATGAAATAACCGAACGCTCAATATAAGTCTTTCGAAGGTAGCTCGACAATTTTAAATAAAAAAATCATTATTCTGACGATGCAGACCTGAAAAGGCTGCGAAACGTCAATAAATAAATAAAGTTCGTGTATTAACCCGTAAAAACTAGTTTTATTTAATGAGTGATGTGCGTGAAAACCTAAGAAACAAATAAACTAAATCAAAAATTAAATTTTCAAGTTGCCGCGAAAACGTTTCTCTGGACATCATGGCGTCTCACTAGTATGTGACGTCACACGACTGTCATTAAAACGTCAAACTATACAATGTAATGTCACTTTGGCCGGAAGTTTACTAGCGTGTGACGTCATTTTAGTTTTGGCCAATCCCAAGCGTTTTCGGTCACGTGACCATGGAGCAAAAATATCATTTCTATTTTATTATTTTGTAGAAAAGTTATTAATTATTTGTTCTTTCAGAATAGTTATATAGTTCCTAAAATATTGATATTAAATACGGATGCCAACAATATGAACATTATTTTTCATTCTGTCAAATAGCCTTTTGGGTTTTGTTGTGTCCTTTTCAACATTTACAATGAGGAGCTCGATGGCGCAAGTGGTTAGCGCGTTCGGCTGCGATCATTGAAGTTAGCAACTTTCGCAGTGGTCGGTCATTGGATGGGTGACCAAAAATTTACTATCTCGAGCTCCTCCGAGCTTTGGAAGGCACGCACGTTAAGCCGTTGGTTCCGACTGCATCTGCAGTCGTTAGCACCCACCAATCCGCACTAGGCCCGCGTGGTGGGTCTTGACATGGGTCAATCTCCCTATTCCATCCATAGGGAAGGCCTGTACCTCAGCAGTGGGGACATTAATAAGCTGATGATCACAGAAAATTTATACGCATAATGTTCTTGTTTAATTTTAATATCCAAAATACTCATGGTGCAAATGTCATGGTCTCAGACTTTACTACGAAAAGGAATGAAGATAAAGAAATTACACATGTTGTGACTTTCGATCACCGAGGTCATTAACATTCAATTAAGTTGATAAAACTCATCCGTGTTATTATAATACGGAATAGGTACCCTTTGTTCAATGTGTCATTCTAGCAAGTCTGTAGTCCCAACTAGCCAATACGACTTTTCACCCTACGGATGGCATATAATTTGGGAGAAATCTTAATATGTATTTGGCTAAGTGGCTAAAACACCATTTATGTTTTTTAATTAAGAACAGCATACTTTTTCTAGTGTCTCGAGTCTGCGGATTTATTTATTTCAGATTGAAATAAGCTGTGCCCTTGTACTATTATCTTATTTTGTAATCTTTTTCTATTTATATTTGTGTCTACAAAATGTATAAATAAATAAACATTTATACTTCGTCCGGTGTAGTAGAAGATCCGAACCTACATTGACTTTCACCGAGCTGTTAATAGAATGAAACATATTTTATCATGAATTTAGTATATCAGACAATATATTAAAAATGGGTTGCCTGAAAATCCTGGACAGACTATTTTTAATTAAATAAATAAAAATGCTGCAACATCAAGATAACTTAAAGTATAAAACGTATAGTATGTGCAGCCGTCGGTGACATAACTGGCATCGACATACCTGTTTATACCTGGCAACCCAGTAGTTCGCCAAGGTAAATAATAGACATACCAACGACTTTTTTAGACAACCCATTTTTAATATATTTTCTAATACAATAAATTCATGATAAAATATGTTTCATTCTATTATCAGCTCGGTGAAGGTCGATGTAGGTTCGGATCTTAGACTATTGATGACCTGTTTTACTTGACAAGGTGACTTATCTACTTACTTTGTAATCACACCAGCTGTATGCGATTTATCGTGTATTTATTTATCTTTTCTTTTTGTAGGAAATGGTGTTGTGATCCATCTGCCGGGTCTTTTCGAGGAGCTGAAGAAAAACGAGTTGAAAGGCATGCAGGACTGGCAGGACCGCCTTATCATATCGGACAGGGCACACCTCGTCTTGGATCTACACCAACAGGTATTATTTCGTTTCACGCCTGAGAATCACAATACTTTTGTATATTTATGTATACAAGTGGGTGCCTGCGGCTTTGTCTGCGTGAAAAAAAATGTTTCCCATACAACCCCCCCCTTTTCACCCCTTTCAAGGATGATTTATGAGATAGAACTATCCTTGGTCCTTTCCCGGTCATCTCTGTATCAAATTTCATCTAAATGAGGTAACAGACTGACAGAGACACACTTTCAAATTTATAATTTTAGACATCCATGTGTAATAAGTTATTCGACCCAGATATTAAGCTGTTGATTCCAGCTGTTTTACCAAGGTTGATACACCGAGTCCATCTGCGCGAAGAGCTGCTTCAATCTCTGCAGCAATGGTTTTTTCTTTCAGAGATATGGATGATCTTTCTGATTGATATCCAAGGACGATGCGTCGCTTATCATGCGGCTGTCGGCTGTTATAGTCCTAATCCTCCCCTGTCCCGATGAACAAACGGAAATTCGGGAGTTTTATCCATAAGCGGTTAAAATGTAATCCACTATTATTGTTGTCATTCTATATGTATGTGGCGACATTAAAGCGTAGCTAGAATTTAAATCTGGGAACTGTCCATCCACATACTACCTAGGGGAAGTCCCTATATCTAAATTGCAACTTAAAGAGGAACTAAACAAAGCTTCATTGGAGTGTTATATTTTGTCTGTGTTTAATGTGTTCCTGGAGCGGCATTTATACGACGGGATATGGATAACAATAATAGTTACATTCACAGTGTTTATTATAAATGCTAAATGCAAGTGTTAACTACTTAGCAGAATTTAGCGAAATGGAAAACATGTACACTACACGTTATCAGAGGCCCAAGCATGAATTTTGATAGCTTTGTAAATGTATCTTCATTTTCAAATTTTGTATCGAAGGAGCCAGTTTGTTTTTACAGTTTATATCTTAGATTATAGCAAAAAGGGAAGATACGGCACTCGCGGCTCAAAAGTGATCCGCTTAAATTGTGGTGCAGGACCATAATTCGCTGTAGTCACAATGGGACATTCAAACACGCTGCATGTATACTCAATATAATAATATTTCGTATAATCTGTGTTATAAAGATAAAACAATGCCTTCGATGATTTTATAAATAACACAAATAGTTCAAAATCAAATAACAAATGCCTCGGCAACACTTCTCATTAGTTATTTAGGTAATCGCCATTTTGTTATCAAGGAAAGGACAACAATACAGCTCAGCCGTTCGCACTCGGAGGCTGATTCGTCGTTTCGCTCGCTCTGCGTTGAAGCGTACAGTTTTGTCTCGCTCGCTCGATTGAATGTTATTTACAGACGTGTGCATGCATGTGTGAGAGTTGTTTATGTAGTTGAGTCGGATCATATTTTATTTGATGCTAGTGTGAGCGTACCGTATCTTCCCTTTTGTTTTTAACCGACTTCAATAAAGGAGGAGGTTCTGTGTTCGACTGTATATATATATTTTTTTATGTATGTTCACCGATTTCTCAGTCAATTGTGGACCTATTTCCAAATTTTTTTTTTATTCGAAAGAGTGTGCACTTCCGAGGTGGTCCCATTGGAACCAAGTCAGGATCTGATGGTGGTCTCCGGGGAAATCGAGGGAAACCTTCAAATTACAAAGGCACGCATGATGTTTTTTTTATTTTTCATTTTCACTAAAATGGATGAAATAAAAAAAAACAACGAAAAATAAAACTGACTTCAAAATCGAAAATGGAACTTAAAAGTAAAAAATAATATCTTGATCATGATTTGGAAGTCGGGCGGGGTCAAGATTAAAACATTAAATAGATTTTCGTTTCTGATCGGTAATAATACGTCTTTCAATCTTGACCCGCCCGACTTCCAAATCGTGAACCAGATATTATTTTTTACTTTTTAGTTCCATTTTCGATTTTGAAGTCGGTTTTTTTTAATCTAAGGTTTTCATAGAAACTTTGTCGATGCGATACGATTGCGCAGCTGTCAAAATTCGCGCTTGGGCCTCAGAAAGGTTTCTCCAAGTATTTTGGTTTATATTGCATTCCTCTTCCACGCTGGTGAACTGGAAACGTACAATATTCCAGCTTCTAACAAACCCGCGCAGAGGAACATGTAAAAGTATCGTAAATGCTAATGAGTTAATAAAAAACGACTAAATGCGAGTCGAACTCGCCTACCGAGGGTTCCGTAGAAATTTGTCGGTCCGCAACATGAACTGCCGTATCTTTTTTTTACGTTAACCTAGAAGTTTGTTTTTTCACAGCTTCAAGGGATCGTAGACCTGTATATGTATATGGTTTAAATAAATAATTTTTTCCAACACTCACACCAATTAGCCTAGCCCCAAAGTAAGCACTGTAGGCTTGTGTTATGGGATACTTGGGTAACGGATAGAATACATATACTCTACATATATAAGTATATTTATATAGAAATACATATTAAACATCCATGACTGGAGTACAAATGCTCGTATTCATCACACAAACATCTGCCCCCGGGACTCTCGAGAAGGCAACACCATGAAACCCGGCGTACAAACCACTCGGCCACGGAGGTCGTCAAAATTTCAACTTGATGCCTCCACGCGTTAGCGAGATTATTCCCCTTATTCCAAAACGCGTACTAAAGTTAGTCTTGGCTTAAACCTAATGTTGTCTCTGTCCTCTTTTTAGAAAACAAAAGTGACAGCATCAGTTTCAGTCCAGGTTTAACTAGTTTACGTTTTGTAATAATTACGTTTTGTAATTTGTATAATTTGAAAGGTCTGGTGACAGACTGACGGATAAGGGTTACGTATTTTGCGTTTGATTTCATACGGAACCCTAAAAGAGTATTTGATTTTGTTCCTATCATTCCACTTACTATTTCCCTTACCCAACGTTCTTCCTGATAATATTAATTTGGTATCGTTATATTGATATAATAATAATAGCACACTGTGCTGAGCGAAACTTTATACACATCATTTTATAAGAAACAAAAATTGTTCTATAATAAGGAGAAAATTGTTAAATGTTTTTATCGCTTATCGTCGGTACGCTTTTTTATTTATGATGCTTCTGCATAATATGTGATTTCACGTTTCGCAATCAATTTGGTTAATAAAAATGGTTTTTTTATTGGTCTGCAAAAAATAAATTATCAAGTAAACCCGACAGGAATGAATCACTTGTGTTGTAATACAACACAAATCATTTGTCTATGTGTTTAGTCTAAAGACTTAAGAGTCTTAGACTGAGTACTGTGATAATTACTTAAGAGTAATTATCACAGTACGCCGCACTCAGAGCAGTCGTTTCTAACGCGCTGAGCGGGCAGAAAAAGTCTATGAAAATTCATTGCTAACATGATGTCCGGCTCAAACTACACCCTCGTTGGTAATCGGTTACTTTCTCCTCTCGGTGAACAATGTACTGCAACGACTGCTGTAAGTGCTGCCGTAATAATATTACTTAATCCTTACGTTTTTTTACTCATGTGTACTCTTAGGTCCACTTTCACCTAAGTTATTAATTCAAATTAAGGTTAAATCGTATTTAAGACATCATTCCATCTTTGTCTATTGTTTAAATTGAGTTTTAAAAAAGCAGACGGAAAGTATCCACTTTTAGAGGACGTTTTAGATACAGTGACTCCGCAACGAAAGGGTCAAACTGGCGATAGTTCGACAGACGCTATCAGGGTGACTCGGGCTAATGTACCTAATATGTACCTACATTTTAAAGTCAGAATGTATTTCTTCACTCTTTGGTTTTAATACTTTCTCAATGCTGATTGATACGACCTTACAGAAGACAACAATAAAATAACACTACCTTTCGGTGCTGTTGTGTTTCTGACGGTGAGTAAGGTTCCAGGGTCTTCCTGCTCTGCGGGGTCCCCGCAATACCCCGGGAGGCCCATGCCGTGGAGCCCCGGCTTGGCCGGGAGGCTGTTGGGTGCGGAGACGCGGCAGAATCCCTAAACGGGGATCCCGCGGTTTCGCACTTAGCAGCTTAGATGGTATTCGGAGGGTTTTTAGCGGATAAAATACCGTAAAGCGCCCGTAAGAGTTACGGAGTCCTCAGTGGGCGAGCCTTGCGGGAGCCAGATGTGCGGTCCGTTCGGCGGTGTGCCTCTTAAAGGCGCCGTCGTCTGTAAATAGAGGTTTTGCATGCGTCAAAAAAAATGGGTTCTACGGGGTAGGAAATTGGGTCAGGGTAGGCAAAGCGCGAGTGATATTGCATTAATCGCAAGTGTACATGGGCTATGGTGGCCGCTTACCATCAAGCGGGCTATATGCTTGTTTACCACTTGCTGCGCTCTTGGCGTGTGGGTGGACTGTAGTTTTTGGTTGCAAGTAGGAATACCACCGGTTGCAGAGATACGATATTTTATTATAATTTTCACACAGCACATGTAATCGTACAAAAACGAGAGATGCAGAGAGGGAAAGGGAAACGGAAAACGATATAACTTTTTTAACTATAATGGTTTGTGTTGCCAGCACCCTTTTAACTTAAAAAAATAGAACAAATTATTTGAACCCTTTCTTCCTTACCAAAAAATAGAATGGCTAATGCCTCCGGTCAAGCTCGGAAGGGCGATTCGTTAAATCCTATTTCAGACATCAATAAGGCTTTACATCATTACACGACAAAATATTACAAATACTGTTTGAATCAACCAGCAATAGATATTTGATAACATTGTCAACAAATTTAAAAGATAATCGAAAGTTGCATTACAGAATTGACTTGCAGGTCGGGAATTTTGAAACATTTATAATTATTACACAGTTCCCTTTAATGAAATATAACGTTATTTTTAAATAACTTACATGTTATCTGCATATACACTTCCAGACACATCTATCGGCACTCCTATTATTTTAAGTTTTGACGGTCCCTAGCTAATATAAATGTTGCACTGAGTAAAAAGTTATTACCTACGCAGTTTTGATGCTGATTTGTTTACCATTTTTTCGCGTGTTTTTTAAAATATTCCTCAACCATAAACATATATATTTGTTGCAGACCGTTGAAACGTATGAAACTAAGTGGGCCGATAGATGTGTCCGGATGTATAGTATCTCGTGACAAACTAAATATAATAAAAAAACGACGGGTTGCACTCCAGCAACACACACGGAATAATTTTGCACGAATTGCTTTAATTATCAGTATAAAAGTACTATCATTTATGTGGTAGAATACAATATTTACTTATTGCGCTATAGTACACAAACATCACAATTTATATTACATTAAAAAAGTTTATCTCTCAGAAAAATCAACTTACATGAATCACATTAAAGCGTACCTAGCGACATCTATTGTAAAAAAAAATGTATTTTTTCGCAATAAAGCTGCCACCTGGACGTCCTAGTTAGAGGCTTATTATTATAATACAATAAAATAAAATATTACTATGTTTCGTCCAATATATTGAAAGTCAACAAACAACCTTTCCAATTTTATTGTTTTCGTCTTACGCCTCGTTAACATTTTTTACCCATTACAAAAAAGGTGTACAACGCCGCTAAAGAAGTTTTCAATTCAAAAGTAATTTATATATAAAAACTACATATTTATGCTACCTCAAAGAGATTGAAATTGTTTATATTTTTATGCATATCTATTGCTTTTGTTCCAACTAATCCGTTTATATTGAATTTGTCACGGTGACTACAATGTCATATTTATTAGTTTGTGAACGTTAATGCCCTTGACTTATTTTGTTCATGCTAAGTTAACAAGTGAAGTGGCATGCCATGCATCGAATTTTTGGATGAGGCATGAAACATATAATATAAAAATTATAAACTCATTTAGAAACTAGGGTTTGAGTCCCAGGACGTCTCGTGTCTCAAAGTCCCGAGAGTTTTTTGTGAATTGGGTCCCGAGACTTTCGGGTCGATTCTTGAGACGAGACACGATTATCGAAATTGTATTGTAATCATTTTTATTTTTAACCCATTGAAAGTCTACCTCCATCTGTGAGTTTAATGCATAATTACATGGTCTACGTGGGACACTCAGAAGGTTTTGAGAAACTAAAAACTAACTTCTAGCTACCGCTTCTTCTGGCGATGAAAACTGCATCCCTTTAAGCTGATTTTTTATTTTAGGGAATAAAAAAAAGTCACACGGAGCCAAATCAGGACTGTAAGGAGGGTGTCCCAAGACTCTGACTGGTGTGGAGTCCAGGAAGTCCTTCGCTTTAATCGCAGAGTGCGCGGGCGCGTTGTTGTGGCGAAGAAGGACCCCGCGGAGCCCGGTGTTGCTCATTGCAGAAAAAACTTCTGGCAGGCATTTTTTGTTATACCATTCGGCCTTGATGCTGATTTGGTCTGGAAGTGAAATTGAAATTAGGTACCCCGTCAAAGTGAAGAAACTAGCGATCAAAATTTACTTTGCGCTCCTCGATCGCTTCACTTTCGTAGGCGTTGGTTCATTTTGAAACAGCCAAACTGTCGACTAACGGACGTTTGTTTCTGGATCATACTGATAAATCCAGGATTCGTCACCTGTCACAATTCCGTAAACTCGCCGTGACGAGCCTGCATCAAATTTTTGTATCATTTCACTGCCCCAATCCACACGGGCCTGCTTCTAAATTTCGGTGAGGTTGTGCGGCACCCAGCGGGAAACTATCCTCCTTACGCAAAGTTTTCTTGAATTAATTTTTTTACTGCCAGCACACTTTCTTCGGTGACAGCCGTCGTAGAACGACCACTCCTTTGTTCATCCCCCAAAGTAAGACGACCGCGTTTGAACTCGCTACACCAGCGGTAGATGGTTGCTTTTGAAGGTCCTTCATCCATAAGAGCAGTTCGAAAACAATCGAATGACTCATCAGGTTTTAAGCCACCTGAAAATGTTCTCAACGCAGATCCATTTTCTAATAAGACAAGAAAAATTTAATTGGCTCTCGAAAAAAGACCGGATGGAACTTTTGAAAATTGAACAGTGGTATTTTTACTTTTGAATAATCGAGTAATCAAAATTTTCAAAATAATTAAAAGTGGTCAGTGTCTTATACATAAAAACTTTTTTTCGCAAAACTTTCTGAGTAGCCTGGTACTACATAACTACTGAGTACACATATATTATAAGAAACTAGCAAACCTGTGAACCAAATGTTCACCAAAAACTGATTTAAAAAAAATGTATTTAAATAATTGAGAACTTCGGAGATTTTGTGTGGTTTCGTTTGAAATTCGTGATTTCTCGAAAACCGGAAGTGCTACGTTACTCAAATCCGGTTTGTAGTCTTATCAGTCTATTCTTAACTTATAACTTAAACATTATCTTTATCTATCTCTTACGGTTTGGCCGCTGAAACAGCACCACAGACAGACGGACGGACGGACTTGATAAGAGATTTGGCATGCGCAGACGAGGGACTTTTGTCCGCGGACTTTATAGCCCGTCAAAATAAATCGCTAACAACTACATCAAGTAACGCACACCAACTCATGTGACTAGGCATACGCGGGCTCGATCCGATTAAAAAGTAATCTCTTTTAAATCGTCTTTTCTTTTTCTTCATGTTAATTAAAACACAACCTAATCTAATAAATATTAATTTCCACAGCGTGCGCTTCTCCAAATTATCGGACAAAGGCGTGTACGTTGAGTCCGTGTCAAGTACTCAGAGGATATTTTTTTACGATTCAGGGACTTTGTACTCCGCGTACAAACCAATACATACCAATTATTTAGACTGAAATTAATATTAAAATTATTAGGATTTCATTTTATGTTGATTTCTACTTGCTTTTTCATTAAAACATTTAAGTAATTGACTCAATTCAAATTTTATTCTTAAAGTCTCGTGTCCCGGGACTTTGAAATATTCGAGAATCCCCAAACCCTAAAAGAAACTCAAGCACTGTATTTTTTCTACTAGCTACCTACGCTTCGCACGGATGCAAAATACACTAATGTATAAAATGAGAAACGTTGAAATTACTATACATATGTTCCACGCTGATTTCTGTTCTGCGGGATTATTCAATATATTATAATCTCACTTAGGTTAAGGTTTGTAACCTAATTTATCTAATAGGTCCAGCCTTCTTCAAATGATTAGTATAATATAGAAAGGCGTAGCCCGCAATTAATTTTTTTTAATAAGTGATAGTCTATTTGTATGCAAGCTTGTTAATTTCATAAATAATTTACAAGCAGCTAATGATAAAAGTTTGTTAATTTTTGTTTGCCCTTTCCAGGTGGACGGTCTACAAGAGGCGGAGAAAGGCAAAAACTCATTGGGGACCACAAAGAAAGGGATCGGCCCAACATATTCATCCAAAGCCTCGCGAAACGGTATCCGGATAGGTGACCTACTTGGAGACTTTAATCTATTCGAAGAAAAGTGAGTGTTTTGACACGCATACAATTTACGGAGTGACGGTTACCGTTTTTTGTCTCACCAGATCGCGCTACTGTTGAGTGAGGTCCTGAAGTGTAGCTATTAAAGTTTTAATAAAAAAACGGTATCGTAAAAATAATCGGCCATGCCACAGTGTTGCGCAGTTCCGTTTTGTTCGGAAATAAAGGAAGATTAATTTTTCAAAAACTTTCCGCTCTATCCTGTTGGTATTTAACGGAAGTTTAAACATTGAGCGGACGTGTTTACTCATAGTGTCGCCGCACACGGGCCACCGACCACAACCACAAAACGCCGCCACGGGCATATTTCTTGTAGTTTACATACATTTTATATGGACTCGCCACACACGGTACGCCGGTGGCCGCCACACGCTACAAATCGTCGTTGCTCGCTTCTTGTGGCCTGCACCGGCCACTTAATGCGCCGATACAAAACGCCGCCACACGTCACTCGCGCGATTCCCCACCCCTCTCTCCCTTACCTTAGTCGGCCGCTGTCGCGCGCTTCAGCCACTTTAGTAGCCGCTTCTATCTGCTCGTGGCGGCGTTTGTGGCTGTGGCGTGTGGCGCGTGTGCGGCGACACATACTGTTATGGTGGCCGCAACTGCGTGATTCGCCACGAAGTTTCGATTGTGATCGGTCATTTTCGGCTACCGTTCGATATGCGGGGTACGTCAAAGGATTTTAGTGCTCTAACTAAAAGTGCTGCGTGATCATATTTATCAAGCTTTTAGATTTTAATTGCATTTGTAATGTTAAGCACACATTTACAAATGAAGAAAGTCGTCCATAGTTGAACGTCTGGAAATTATGACAGCTTGAAAAACTTCACAGTGTCAAATCATGTAACAAAATTTACTAAATATTATAGTGTCAGTTACAAAATTAGGTATCATCGTTATAAAAATAGCCTCTTGGAACATTTGGAACATTGGAGTCTAAACCGAAGCACTTTTGTATGAAATATAGACACCTTATAATGCGCTTTATTCATAAGAACTTTTTTAATAGTAGCTTTAAATTTATTGATGCTCATTTGTTCGATATTGCTAGGGACTGTATTGTAAAAGCCCAGTACACTAAACGGCTTTTGGGCCTAATCACATTGAAAAATTGATCTTCATTTGTCTGTATCGCTCTGAGGAATAGGATCAATGTACTCCAAAGCCTTTGCACCCGGCGCCTGGTCACAGTGAAAAAACTGATCTTCATTTGTCTATATCGCTCTGAGGAATAGGATTAATGTACTCTAAGTCTTTTGCGCCCGTCGCCTGGTCGCAGTGAAAAAACTGATCTTCATTTGTCTATATCGCTCTGAGGAATGGGATCAATGTATTCCAAGGCATTTGCTCCCGGCGCCTGGTCACAGTGAAAAAACTGATCTTCATTTGTCTATATCGCTCTGAGGAATAGGATTAATGTACTCTAAGGCTTTTGCACCCGTCGCCTGGTCGCAGTGAAAAAACTGATCTTCATTTGTCTATATCGCTCTGAGGAATAGGATCAATGTACTCCAAAGCCTTTGCGCCCGGCGCCTGGTCACAGTGAAAAAACTGATCTTCATTTGTCTATATCGCTCTGAGGAATAGGATCAATGTATTCCAAGGCTTTTGCGCCCGGCGCCTAGTAACAGTGGAAAAACTGATCTTCATTTGTCTATATCGCTCTGAGGAATAGGATCAAAACTGATCTTCATTTGTCTATATCGCTCTGAGGAATAGGATTAATATATTCCAAGGCTTTTGCGCCCGGCGCCTGGTCGCAGTGAAAAAACGGATCTTATTTGTCTATATCGTTCTGAGGAATAGGATCAATGAAATCCAAGGCTTTTGCACCCGGCGCCTGGTCACAGTGAAAAAACTAATCTTCATTTATCTTTATAGCTGTGACTTTTTTGAAGCGCTTCAATTTCGATATTATTTTGATATAACCTTCTTTCATCAGGTTTCGCACCATAGCCGAGAGCTATAAACGCATGTTCCCCTCCCTGGAGGTGGATGTAGACGCAGAGTTAGCCAGGTACAAAGAGTACGCTGACAAGATCCGTCCTTTGGTGAGAGACACGGTGTCATATCTCCACCATGAAATAAGGAGTGGGAAGAAGGTGCTAGTCGAAGGCGCCAATGCTGCTATGCTGGACATCGATTTCGGTATGACTTACATTTGAACCCCCACATTGATTTTAAGCAACCACAAACCAAACATTGCCTGACAGTAGTGTTATGAAAACTTGGTCCAATATCCAATAAATATATTTAGGGGTAAGTGTCAAAGTCTACTAAGCCTGGTACTCATTAGCGAGCTGTAACCGTAACATGCGTGATACAGTAAGAAGTTATAGTGTGTACGCTTGTTACAGTTTAGGCTCACGACGTCGCCGGAACGCTCACCGAGCGTACTCATTTTTAGAACTGTAACCAAACAGATTCAGTAACGAGGTTCTAGTGTGTACAAGAAAGCCACTGACAAGCCGGATCTGCGCAGTGTTAGTTTGTACGTCCACGATATTGGACGTCTTACTCGATGATCATAAACGGCCACGAAGATGGCGGGTTCGCTTTCCTTGAATTCGCGTCAAAAATCGACAATCGTCGGCTCGCTGCGAGTCGCTCGTGTAGCGTTCGTTGCAGGCTCGCGAACCACGTACACAATATGATTTTGCTAACAGTACCGTTTACAGTTACGTGCAACGTTACAGGATCAGAAATGAGTACGTTGTAAATAGGGTTGCCACCTTTTTTTTGTCGAAATAAAGTACATTGGATATTAAAGGTAGAAAAAAAAGTACATTGTGTCCAAAATAAAGTACTTTTTATTCCACTTTATTAGTAAGCTTAAAAATATATTTTACGTTGCTACTAGCAACTTTTAATAAATAATTTGCGGCTACTGTAGTTTTTTCCGCATTGGGAAAGGTCATGATACAAAGGCGTACAGCCACGAAAATGTTGCAGGAATTAGCTAAGGGCAACATATTCATACTTTCTGTCCGTTTTACGCAAAAATTCTTACTTTCAACCTCTTTTTGTATATTTTATGTAAAATTAATCCCCGAGTAATCAAATCACATTAAATAAAGTACTTAAGCGTATTTTATTGTTGATATAAAGTATAGAGTACAATTACCCGAAATAACGTACAATACTTTATAATAAATTACGGGTGGCAACCCTAGTTGTAAACGTCGGCTCGCTGCAAACCGCACGCGTACCGCTCGCTGCAGGTTAGAGAACCACGTACACACTATGCTTTTTGGTTACAGTGCATGCAACGCTTACGGTTACAGCTTGCTAATGAGTACCCGGCTTATGAGTGCCTAAATTGTATTTATTGCATATTATTGGACAGAGTTATCATCATACTACCGTCAGGTAATGCTTGAGCGATAATCCTTTGCTGTGGTGGACGGCTATGCCTTTGAACATAATCAATTACTCTGAAATTTTGTATCGATTAGTAATTATGGATGAAATGACCTACCTGTCATATACATATATACTATTTAATTTTTCATATGGCAACACTAACCTTAGTGTTGCCATATGAAAAATTAAATAGTTTTATAGTAATTCATTGATATTTTCCAAAGGCACTTACCCATACACCCGTATGTATTACATTAATTGCACTTCCTTATCAAGCAAAATACACATTTGCTTGTATAATTATACTATTATGAATGGATAAAAGTGATAAGAAAGACAGACAGATAAGGCGATATTGTTTGATAACTGTTCGGATTAAACTCGCGATTATTCTTTTCGACGTTTTCTTAATCCTAATCATCAACAAATATGACAATGTTTCAAGATTACATGGATATCATACGATCGTTCATGAAAATTGACAAATGGATGTATTTATCCAATACTGGAACCAAACTTAACAACATGTAAGTCGTTGGTCGAAAGCCTAATATAAAGTTATATTTTAGTCTATGCAGGGCTAAAATACAAATAATTAATATCCCAGTCCGTAGTCCTGCAGTTTTGATTGTTTAATCAGATTCAGGAGCTTGAGATGCGAGAAATTCAATATGTCTATTGTTATATTCTATGAGCTGTGTACATTTTGCATAACTCCATCTAAATGATATTTTTGCGATAAAAATGATCTCTGTTTTAGGGTTTATTTTATACATTGCACGTGACCGATATATTGATATAAGTTTATGTAACACTATGTTGTGCATAGGTCATTCCGACGGTTATTATTACAAACATAATATGAAATTTTAGAACATAGTATTCTTGTCTTTTTGATGGAGAATGAAAAGGCGAGAATGATGTTAAATTAAGTTTAAGTTTAGAGAATCATCGTTGTTTTTGTTTTTTTTAGCATTACTAGTAGATGTTTAGATCTAAAAAAACTTTTCGTGGGATACCTTAACAAGTAAATGGCTTAAAATTGTAATAACTTTTGATAGGGATTACAATTTAAAGAGAATTTAAAGCACCGATTTGAATGAAATAAAGACTAAATCTTACACTCTATAAACATATTATCAATGCATTGCACATAATTCAGCAGTTTTGGTTTGATACGCGAACAAATAAACAGACAAAAGGACGAAAGTTCTAAAAATGATTATTATTTCTTATTGTAAGTCCCCCAAACTGTTTTTTTTTGCAACAATATTCAATGTACAGACACGTGAGGCTTACATTTTTATTATGTACTATTTTATATGATTTATTTATATGATATTTTCCCGCAATAAAACGTAGCCTATGTGTTAATTCGGGGTGTCAGCTAACTCCATACCAAATTTTATTAAAATCGCTCCAGCCGTTTAGACGTGAAGAAGGAACAAACATACACACTCACAAACTCTCGCCTTTATAATATTAGTGTGATATGTAGATCCATATCAATAGAATGTTCTCATTGTGCAGGCACATATCCGTATGTGACGTCATCCAACTGCAGTATAGGCGGTGTTTGTACTGGTTTGGGGCTGCCACCGAACGTGATCGGCGAAGTATTGGGAGTGGTGAAGGCTTACACCACGCGAGTTGGCGACGGCCCTTTCCCTACGGAACTAATTGATGTAAGTTAACTTAACCATAAACAAAGTTAAGAAAGTTATATGTTATGGAATTTACAGGCTCGTGATCTCAAAATTTTCTCAAACTTCACTTTTAATGTTTATGCTGAAGCAATCATATCTGTGAGCCATAACTGCCAGTTGTAATCTCAACCAACACATGGGTTGAGCCTAGCTCGCTTAATACAAGATGTCTTGTCAACTTAGTAAGGTGACAAGTTGAGCTCCTTCTAGTGATAATTGGATAGCAACCAAATGTACCTCAAGATTGTACAAAACATTTATGATGCAAATAAATTATTATTATTAATTAGAACTAAGGCGTTAGAAGCTATTTCCAATAAGCGACTAGTTGCTTTGTAGCGACTGCGTGCGCGACTGGTCGCGCGACTAGTCTATTACCAAACCTTTTTAAGAGAGCTAGGGCATAGCTGATTCCCGCTCGAATGGAAGCGCTCTTCTGGGGAAGAAACTGCTTTACAGAAGACCACAGTAAAATAACACTACCTTTTTGTGGTGTTGTGTTTCGGTCAAGAAGTAAGGTTCCAGGGCTCCACGGGGTAGGGGGTCGGGTCAAGGTATGCAACGGCGCGAGTGTTATTTTTTGTATTGCAAGCGTGGTGGCTGCTTGCCATCACGCGTGCCATAAGCTTGTTTGCAACCTTTTGAACATAAAGAAAACCGGCCAAGTCCGAGTCGGACTCGCGCCCCGAGGGTTCCGTACAAACCCGAATTTTCAAAAATATGTTTTATTATATGATGTAACTGAAAATTTACTGTTTTCGCAATTTTTCCTTTATCTGTACTATAAGACGTTACTTCGTACCAAATTTCAAGATTCTAAGTACACGGGAAGTACCCTGTGGGTTTTGATTCCCGTACGAGTTTCGAAAATTTGCGGCTGTTTAAGCCGTATCTTTTGATTGCTTTGACTTAGAAGTTTGATGTTTTCACAGCTCCAAGGGACAGTAGACCTTAGTATTAGATATCAATTCCAGTTTGATACCTCCACGCATTCCAGAGGCAAACGGTCTTGACAGACGGACGGACGGACAACAAAGTGATCCTATAGGTAAGGGTTCCGTTTTTTCTTTTGAGATACGGAACCCTAAAAACAAGCTCGTTTTCGTCTCTGTGTCGTCTTCGTCTTCTCGGCGGCGGCTCCCACTTCATTTCCACCAAATTTATTCACTCAAGTGTTCCAAGCCACTTCCGCAAGTTTCGGCCAGAGTATTCTGAACCCTCCATGTTCCATTATGATGGCAAAGACACAATTTCTCTTATAAAGTGTACTCAATAACCTCTGTAATCTGTGGTCTTCTCTCAACCTCTCTACGCGGCATACTGACAACAAAATGACTCGCGCGACCGCTTTTCGCTATATCTGCAACCGTTAGCATCCACCAAACCGCAATGGAAATGAATAACATAGGAAAGGCTTGTGCCCCAGCAGAGTGAAATACATAATTTGATATTGGCTGATGATAGCAGATAATGTTATTTTTATACCCAGTCGCCCCCGTGGGGATGCCACCCGAGGCAAATGGGCATGAAATTCCAAACCGCAATGAAAATGAATAACATAGAAAAAGCTTGTGCGCCAGCAGTTGAAATACATAATTAGACATTGGCTGATGATAACAGATAATGTTAACTTTATTATCAGTCGCCCCCGTGGGGATGCCACCCGAGGCAAATGGGCATGAAAATATTTCCCCCACTTCGGCTTTTCTATTCCCATTTGCCTCCAGAGGAAATCCCTGCGGGGGAGACTGGTCATAAAAGACTTTGAAGCTTTTGGAACTGCCATCCTTTCGAAATCTCCCTCCATCTGGAAAAGCCAGCTCTATGATGATTGCTCCGCCTATCGGACTGCAATGCATTTAACTATAGCTTATGATTTAATTTTGTTATTCCTGACCCCCGAAAGTTTTCAAATACCTCACGCCAATTTTCTTTAAAATTGTTATTACCAATGCAAAAGAAAATGAAAAGAACGCGAGGCATATGAAAATCTTCGGCGTTCAGAAATAACAAAATGAAATCATTAGCCATAGCAATCCCTATAGGCGGTAGGCCGACAGTTAGCTGCAATGTATCCTATGTTGCCTTGAGAGCGGACGCGAGCTGAGAGACATTTGAGAAATAGGTATTTGAAAATACTAATGCTGTCACGCATTGACAAATACAGTGTGATAGGGACAACAGCGTAGTTAACGCTGAAAATTGCGTATAATTTGTTTAATTCGAGCTTTGGCTCTAGACGATTTCCTCTTTGAAAATTAGATATATGTAAAAGAAATTTTACACAAAGAATAATTAGTAGTTATACTATGCATCTATGTTTTGCTTTTTCTGTAAATACTTATTAAATCTCCACAATAGACGTCTTTAGTGGTGATAATTTTTTTTTTGTTTCTGACCTTTGTCGAGGGTTTCTAGTTTTTTTGAAACACAAGTTATCGATAAAAGGACGAAATAGGAGCATAGAATGAGTAAAATTCTATTTTATGTATGAAACTCAATTCTTTATTGATAAAAATCAAGGAGGAATCAGTCGAGAACGTTTGTATCATGGCGATTAGAGATAAGGAGAGCGATCGCTGTAGAAAATAATGTCCCAGAAATATGTACAAAATAAGTGAAGCGCTGCGATGTCTCAATAAAAGCGGGCTAATTTGAAATGACCAATGCCGCGATGAAAATTGTACAATATTCAACTAACTTCATCTACTTGCACTCATAAACAGCTAACTTCACAGATACTACTTACCGACGGCAGCGCGGCTGGTGGCTGAAAAATTAACTTTAAATGCTATAAATTTTAAGGGCAGGCAGGCTAATGGTTTATTACGTAACGATCGTTCTCCTTTACCCTTAGTAGGAGTTTTACAATTACGATAACTATGATATGATATACGAAAACTATGATAGTTTTCGTGAGCTCGCACTCGTACTAACGATACTGATTTCATTGTTTTCGTTTCAATACAAATAAACAGTGTTTAAATTTTTCTATCATTAAATCATTTGCGTCTTCTTAAATTTTAAGTATATTTGGTTACTTTTCACCAAAATCGACATAGAAACATAATTTACATTTACGAAAACTATGATAGTTTTCGTGAGCTCAAACTCGTACTAAGTGTACTATCTCTAACCTCCATAGTTTGTATGGAAAAAACATTGCCCGCCTCCCCTCTTAAACTTATTCAGTGAATACTGTCACCAGGAGACCGGTAAACTGCTACAAGAACGCGGCCATGAGGTTGGCGTTACCACGAAGCGCGTGCGTCGCTGCGGCTGGCTCGACCTCATCGTCGTACGGTACACGGCCATGGTCAACGGGTACACTGCGTGAGTGTCATATTATATCTTAACTAGCAAACCAGTGAACCAAATGTTCACCAAAACCTGATTTCTCGAAAACCGGAAGTGCTACGTTACTCAAATCCGGTTTGTAGTCTTATCAGACTATTCTTAACTTATAACTTAAATATTCTCTTTATCTATCTCTTACGGTTTGGCCGCTGAAACAGCACCACAGACGGACGGACTTGTCTAATAGATAAGAAATAGCGGCCGCCCGCGAATTAGTACGCGTGGAGTTACTTAGAAATAAAGGTTCACTGCTCGTTCCCCGTAGGTGATAGCGTGATAATATGTAGCTTATATGTTAACCCGACTTCTTAATAATATTCGTGCCAAATTGCAAGTAAATTCGTGCAGTACTTTTTGAGTTCATCCCGAACATACATACATACAAACAGACAAAAAATCTAAAAACTTTTTTCAAATTAAATTACTACAGCCATCTTCTAATTTTATCAAGTGAAATCGATGTTACTCATACCAAAAATTATAAGAAATAAACATTTGTATAGTACAATTTGACATGAGTCAACTAGCCTATTATTATTACTTGCTCTAATATTTCACTGCTAACTTACTTTTAATTGGTGTTTTGTTTCAGGTTATGTTTAACGAAGATGGATATATTGGACACATTGAGTGAGATCAAAATAGGTGTGGCATACAAACTGAACGGGAAAATAATAGACTACTTTCCCTCATCAATGACGGAACTAAGTAATGTGGAGGTCAGTACTCTGGTGGTCTATCCTGAAGGGAGAGGTCTGGGAGCGTAGCTCTGCTACGGCTGCGAAATAATAATCGCAAAATACTTTGTTATTTTTATATTTCTGAATTTACAGCTAATTACATAAAATCCGTATTATCTAAATAATACTAACCGAGTCTGTGCCTGAATTATATCTACTTGAATCTTCCATAAAAGACAAAAGATTCCCATTTCAAATCTTTAAAATAATGACATTAACTTTTTAATTTAACTGCCAGCCGTAAGCATTACGGCCAGTCTCGCGTCGCACGCGCTCGCGTACGGTCGTGGATAACGAGTTGACATTATTACAGTGTAGTAATAATGACGAAAGTTGTGAAGTGTAATTCTTGCAACATAGTTTTGGATGAATTGTTATCATACATTCAAAACAAAGTGTCCGTTATCGATGAAGATACGTTGACGCGAATTTGTGTTTCGTCGTTTACAAAAGAAGAGATCGAGAAATCAAAGTCACTTTTATTTGATTCCATTGGGACAAGCAAGGGAAACATAAAAAGGAAAAATAAAGGCAAAGAAGAACGAGATTTAGCCGATATCGTCAATATCTTTAAATCAACGGAACCTGATCTTATCCCTATATTTTGTGCTAGAAACCTCGAAAAACTACCTCCAATATTATTCGATCACCTGGATTGCACAAAGTTATTAAAGGATCTGTTACGAGTGCAAAATGAAGTAAAGGAGATTCAATCTTTATATGTAACGCAAAGAGAACTCGGTGATTTTAAGGAGAATCTATTATCACAAATCAGAAATGACTCCGTAGTGCCTCTGCCTGCCTCTGTATGTAAAGTGAACATAAGAAGAGGGGGATGGGTGGAGGACAGCGGCCCTATTGGGCTTTCACACATTCCAAACTCCTTGATAAATGAAAGTTTTAATATTGTCAGTGATGATAGTGATACAAACAACTTAAATCAGTATCGTGATATAAAGAGGGTAGAATACGAAAATAACGATAACGGTCGACAACAATTATCGAGTGAAACAGACTATACAAATGGCGCGGCTGTGACTGAATCTCGTTCGGCCGCTAGACAACTGGTTTCGGTGACGTCACCACAGATACATAATATGAACTCCGATAGTGCTTGCGGTGCGTTTGGTCGCGGCATTGCGCAGACAGCTAATAAGCAAGAAATGCAACCAATAAATAAGCTGGAATCTAGAGACACTGATGAAGGGTGGCAACAGGTGTCATATAGACGAAAGCATAAGCCTAATTATCGTTATTTGGGCTCTGCGGGCACTAATCACGATAGTGAAGGAAGATTTAAGGCTGCCGAGAGAATGGTACCCATTTTTATAACGAAAGTCCATAAAGATACGAATGATAAGGATATAATTGACTACGTTTACAAACAGACGCAAGAAATGATTACCCTGGAGAAAATATCTTTTAAGCAGGAAAGAGGATACGATGCTTATAAATTTTTTGTTAAAGATAATAAAGTATCGGTGTTTTTGAATAACAAGCTGTGGCCCGAAGGCATAATATTTCGGAGATTTGTGAACTACAAGCGAAAGTTCTCTGAGAGTATTGGCGAAAAGCATTCGGCTGTAATTCAAAATAAATAATGGTGCATGACACATTATGTAATTTTGTCACTTTTAATTGCAAAAGTGTGAAACGTTCCGTTGACTTCATAAGGGAACTATGTCTAACTTCTGATATAATCGCGTTACAAGAGACGTGGCTATTACCGAATGATATTGATTTTCTGGCAAGTATTAGTGACGAGTTTGGATATACGGGTACCTCTGCAGTAGATACAGCAGCGGGCATACTACGCGGCCGTCCCTATGGTGGTGTGGCGCTTCTTTGGAGAAAGAGTGTCTTTCAGAACGTGACAACGATACAGTGTGATAACCCGCGAGTGTGTTTAATAAAAGTGTCAATGGGTAGTAGCTCATTTATGGTGTTCAGTGTTTACATGCCTACGGATACTGCAGTGAACTTGATGGATTATACGGATTGTCTTAGTCTGGTAAGCGCAATCACTACCAATGAAACTGTAGATTCGATTTATGTATTTGGCGATTATAATGCGCATCCAAATGAACCTTTTTATCGCGAGTTGGAATCTTTTTGTTCTGAGATGGAATGGAACTGTGCAGATATTGACTTTTTAAATATAAATTCAAACACCTATACTTTTATTAGTGAAGCTAACGGTTCCAAGCGTTGGCTTGACCACTGCGTGACTACGAAGTCTGCTATGCAGACTATTGCTAATGTCTATGTAAAATATGATGTCGTGTGGTCAGATCACTTCCCGCTAATCGTACAATGTCAATTAGATTGCATAAAACCTACTACACCTTATGATGTTAATCAATCGTGTACTAAGATACGTTGGGGGGAGCGTCAGTCCGAGCAAATTGATTTGTATAATAAATTAACTCAGGAAAATTTAAGAAACATTGATTTTCCTTCTGAGTTAAGTGCATGCTCTGACTTTTCTTGTAATATTTTATCTCACGGATGTATTATTGATAAGTTATACGGCGAAATAGTGTATGCTTTGTCTAACGCAGCCGTTAGTAGTTATAGTTGCAACTTTAAGGTTAAAAAGAGAAAAGTGATTGGTTGGAATAAACACGTAAGTGCAGCGCATATTGATGCAAGGGCAAAGTTTAAAGTATGGGTCAGTTATGGTAAACCTAGCTCCGGTCTGGTGTGGAGTGAGATGCAAGAAAGTCGTAAAATTTTTAAGTCTCGATTGAAATGGTGTCAGGACAATAGAGAGCAAATTAAAATGGACATACTTGCATCACACCACACCACGAAGGATTTTGGTAATTTTTGGAAAGCCACTAATAAATTGAATAATAGGCCTGGCGTTCCTGTGAGTGTAAATGGTGTTAGTGACAGAAAATGTATAGCAAACATGTTCAAAGAACATTTTATTGAAAAATCGCCTTTGGGGCCATCAGTGTCTTTATGCAACGGGGGTTGTCAAGGCCGGGAGTTAAGTACCCGAATTACAGCCAAGGATGTTAGAAAAGTTATTAAATCTATGTCTCGAGGAAAATCACCCGGTCATGATGACTTAAGTATTGAACATTTAAAGTACGCGGGTACTCATCTTGCCAGAGTTCTAGCGATGTTCTACAGTTTGTGTTTGGGGCACTCTTATCTACCAGCAGATATGCTGAAGACGGTGGTGGCACCAATAGTGAAGTGTAAGACTGGGGACATAAGTGACAAGGACAATTATCGTCCTATTTCGCTGGCGACTATCGTATCAAAAGTGCTTGACGGTCTGCTGAATACTCAACTACAAAAACACATATCGATTCATGATAACCAGTTTGGCTTTAAGAAGGGTCTTTCTACCGAGACTGCCATTTTGAGTTTGAAGCAGACCGTGAAGTATTACACGGATCGTAATACACCCGTGTATGCTTGCTTCCTCGATCTCTCGAAAGCATTCGACCTGGTAAGCTATGATATATTGTGGAAAAAACTTGAGAGCACTTCAATGCCACATGAACTTGTACAAATCTTTAAGTTTTGGTACTTGCATCAGGTCAATGTAGTTCGGTGGTCGGGAGAGTACTCTGAACAGTACAGGTTGGAGTGTGGAGTGAGGCAGGGTGGGCTGACCTCGCCAACGCTATTCAACCTTTATGTGAACGCACTGATTGGGGAGCTCAGTGGCACACACGTAGGTTGCCACATACAAGACGTTTGCCTGAATAATATAAGTTATGCAGATGATATGGTGCTGCTGAGTGCTTCAGTTTGTGGGTTGTTGAAGTTACTTGCCATATGTGAGCGGTATGCCCTTAGTCACGGCTTATTATACAACGCAAAGAAAAGTGAATGCGTGGTCTTTCGGGCCAGAGGGAAGTGTCCAGAGAATATCCCACCCATAAAACTGAACAGTACATCATTAAGAATGGTGGATCAATTTAAATATCTTGGACATTGGGTGACCTCTGACCTGAGGGATGATACTGATATTGAGAGGGAACGCAGGGCACTGGCAGTCAGAGCCAATATGATTGCTCGTAGGTTTGCTTGTTGTTCGAGGGGTGTCAAAATAACTCTCTTTAGAGCATTTTGTACGTCCTTCTACACGAGCAGCCTATGGATTAACTACACCAAGAGACAGTATAGTGCTCTGCGTGTCCAATTCAATAATGCGTTTAGGGTGCTGTTAGGGCTGGCCCGTTTTTGCAGTGCGTCAGGGATGTTTGCACAATACGGCATAGATTGTTTTTACACAACGATTCGGAAGCGGTGTACGTCCCTGGTGCGAAGGGTGCGAACAGGCCAGAACAGGATCCTGCAACTATTTTCTGAGCGTTTTGACTGTCAGTACATGAATCATTGCTGCATGATACATGTATTGACTTATTAACTTATTTAAGGTGATTGATTTGAATGGAATAAATAATTTAACTTAAGATTTTAATTCATATTTAATTTTATATATAATAACTTGACATTATAATAATATTATTATTTATTTTATTCTATCAATTATATGTTTTTTATGATTCAAATAATTTGTATTCTAAATAATTCTAAACAATCTGTATAAGTCTTTGTTACTTGAATAAATAAATTTATTATTATTATTATTATTACACGCAACGGGCGTTACGGTACCATGTAAATATTGTTACGTGTCTGAATGGGGTTCTAAATTATATGCCAGTTCCCGTTTGACAGTTCTTTATTCGCCGCACAGTTCTTTAATAACTCTTTAACCGCCACACTTTATATCAGTTGGCGTGTTCCTTGTGCCAAGCATAGGAAATCGATACTTAAATACCTCCAAAAAATAGGGATGTTCCATGGTCGATCGATATATACTCTCCACAGTTTGCAATTTTACAATTTCATCTTAATAGCGACAGCTAAAAAAGGTAAGTAACGAATATAAACTTACTTTGCAATTTAAATTCTGATATTAGTAGGTATTTTGATTACGTAATGAAACAAAAAGGGTTTAACAATTTGAAAATTTTATTATTTTCTTCAGAAAAAAATTAGTCAAGAGATTAATTGACGAACTTGTTGAAAAAGAATAATAACGTCTCGAGAACGTTATTATTCTTTTTCAACAAGTTCTATTTAGATTAATCATAATTATTTCGATTAATCTTTATCACAATACAACAGTTAACAACATATAAAGACATCGGTAAGTTCTTGAGCAAACATGATTATTCTTTGGACAATATCAATACCTAATAACCTTGTCAGATTCAAATTAATTCAATTTATTCTTCAGCGGTAGTCATGTTGAATTTCAGGACATATTTATCGATAACACGAACTTGATAACTATACGTATATGCACAACACCAATGGAACGTTCCAGAAGGCACTCGTTTATAACGTCAAAACGCAGTGGCTTTTTTCCGACCGAGGCGCTAGGTGAACTAACAACATTCGTTCCTAAGCATGCAGACTAGAGATGGGAATCATCAATTCAGTCCAGTAACTGAATAGCTGAAATAAATTAAAAAAATACAATTCTTTCATTTGACTTTTTAAGACAGTCGTGTGTACTGTGACGTCACATACTATTGAGACACCATAATCCAGAAAAACGATTTCGCGGCAATTTGAAAATTGTCTTTTTAATTTAGTTTTTTCGACTGAATTACACAAGAGAAATAAAAATATCCACTTTTTATGGACTCTGTAAACATTAGTAAATAACTTGAGATAGTATTCTAAAACTTGTCAAAGACCCTATTACGCAATATATATGATATACCTACATCAATTTATTTCAGTGTTTCGTTTACCTGGATTCAGCGATTTATCCCCATCCAAAAAATGGTAAAGTTTTCACCCAATAAATATCTCTCAACAATTGTCAGGTGGAGTACGTGACGGTGCCTGGATGGGCGTGCAACACTGAGAATGTACGGGACATGGAAAATCTGCCATCGCAGGCCATAGACTACGTCAAAATCATTGAAAAGTTCCTTGGCATACCTGGTGAGTAGCATAAAATATGCCCCCACTGCTGGGGTACAGGTATTGAGATATAAGAATAGAATAGGGGAGATATAGACTACTAGAAGTAGAAGTGTCCCTCTAATAGAAAGAGAAAGAAGATGAGAGACCGCTAGCTTTCTCTCTCTAATCGCGCATGCGTATTGGTAACCGTAAGCATCTTACTATTTCGATATGATGCCATTGGATACCATGCGTCACAAGAGAGAGAGATAGCTAGCGGTCTCCAATCTTCTTTCTCTTTCTACGGGACGGACACTTTTAGAGCCGCCCTCCCCACTCTATTCTTATACCTCTATGAGTACAGGCCTTCCCTATGGATGGAACAGGCAGATTGGGCCGTGACCTGGGCCCAGTGCGGATTGGTGGATGGTAACGACGGGACGGGAAATGCAGCCGAGACCAACGGCTTAACGTGCCTTCCGAAGAGTGGAGGAGTTCGAGATAGTATTTTTTTGATCACCCATCCAATGACCAATCACTGCGTGCGTTGCTTAAATTCAACGATCGCAGCCGAAAGCGCTAACCACTTGCGCAGTCGAGTTCTTCTTATACTAATATTATAAAGAGGTAAAGTTTGTGGTTTTCATTCTCTCTTTTAAATCGTCCAATTATCTTCCCCTTCCACCTGTTATGGAATTTCTTTAGCTGTGGAACATTATTTTTGGTTAAATTGTGTAACAGTTAAATCAAAAATATTGTGTGCTTTAGATAAAAGAAGTTGAGGTTAATCATTAGAGTCTGTTATATTTATACAGCTATTAATATCATAATTTAAGTACAGTAGACCCGTTTAACACGATCACCCTTAATACGATTTCTTGCATAAGAATACGCCATTTTGCGTTAGTCCTTTTAATTTAAGACATGTTTTCATACATTTCTTAACGCTGAATACGATTGTCATTCCATTTAATACGCCTGTGAAAACAATTAAATATTTCACGAGAGAAAAACTATGTTGGCAAATTGTCCAAACGATTTTTATTGACAGACAAAAAAGAACAAAATTATTTTACATTAAAACGTCACTTCAAACATTATAAAAAAAGTATAAAAAAGAGGTTGATAGTCCCCGACATCCTCCCCACCTTGCGTTACGCAACACAAAAAGTAACTAAACATAACACTTCTATAAAAACATAATCACAAAACAAAAGGCTACGCTCTTATCTGTGGACCGAACGATTCTGTACTGCTATGAATTGAGAGGTTATGGGCCGGGAGAGAACCGGCAGATGTGGTACATCGCTCAATCGTTCGTTTTTAATTGTTTTCACAACGCCTTAATCGCCAACATGACGTGACGACTGTCGAGCGGCGCACGCTAAGTGGTCCCTAGAGTTTTCTTGGATATTCTTCCATTGATGACAATGTGGCACCGTATCAAATTCAATGAGAATGTGAATAACCTTGAGGCCTTAAGTGATAATGATCAAGAAGAAGACGAGTCATATTCCGATTTTGTCACACGCCCAGGTATTATCAGCAGTTAATGATTTAATACGCTACGTAACTTCTTTGAATCAAAGCGAAGACGCACTGCAAAAGTTAAATTATGTTAAAAATCTTGTAATTGCTAATGCGTCAATATCTTTTTGACTAAAATAAGTAATTAATTTAAATAACGTAATAATAAATATTAATAAACTACATTTTTTATAACATACATAATTCTTAAATATTGTACATTTAATAGCTCAATACCTACATTCGAAATTTTCCTATCCCGCATTATACGCTTTCCCGCTTAAGACGCGTATTTGGTTGAGTCCCTGTGAAATCGTCTTAAACGGGTTTTACTGTATTTTCTTCGCTTCTATAATACAAAATGATGACATAGAGGTTGATTCATTTTCTTTTTTCTTTCGCAGTGAAATTTATAGGCGTCGGACCAGGCCGAGACAGCATTATAAACACCGTTTAACATCAGCTATCAGAATAAATTGATATTTAACATTACTGAATATTATCCTAACATTAAAAAACATCATACTAAACTTACTACATGCTAAACAAAAGAGCCATCGGTCGATTGTTCGATCAAAATAGACTTTTCATCTTCATAGAGTTAATTCGAAGGAACAATGGAATTGAGTTCATACGAGAACTTCTATTGGCGACTATCAAGCTTAAATTAATACGCCTAAAGTTCATTCTTGTTAGATTTTACAGTTATATCGTAACCGCTGGTTGTTTTAGTTCAGTAAATGATTAGTAATTAATTTTGATCGTGTACTTAGTGTGGAACCGGTGCTTAGTATCTATTTTAATGCGAATAAGATTCAATTTTGGGCCGAAAATCGTCTATACTTTAAGCTGCATTGGAATAGTTATTTATGATATAAGTGCGGTAAGTTGGTTATTACAAACGAGTCGACGAATGTAAGCTCGAGATTAAGTCGAGAGCTTACCATAGTCACGAGTTTGTAGTAAATACCAATCCGCACGAATGTCATCATACAATGTTTTTCAACACATTTGCGAGAGAACAGTATACATAAGTAATAATGAAGCAAACTTTTGCTTATAAGAAAGTGGTGTGCATTTCCAAATGGCGCCACTAGCGGGTGGTGAAAATTAGAACTATATATTTCGTCTCTTTTCCTATTTAGTATTAAATTGAGACAAAGTTATATATTAAAAGTACTTTACCAAGGAGGTTCAATTAAAAATAAAAAAAAACCGTTAAGAATACGGTACCATGTGGGAGCATGCGGTAAAATTTTTACAGCACGCTCCGTTGTATGGCCCGTAATTTTGACTTTCGAACTATGTATACTACCTCCGTAAATGAATTTTTTGAGCAAATGTGTTGAAAAAGATATTTAATAGACCACTAATGATTTTGTCGTGTGATGATGCTTATTCCACACCTGTATGACGAAGCTTCGGGTAGCTTTGTTACTAAAATGAGCTAAAATCAGCGTTCGAATTTAGTTTGCTACTTCAGCTGCACATACAAATTTTTCGTTTTCCACGACCTCTTTTAGCGTGTTAAATTATCGTCAGTCAAGCTATCGCCTATAGACACGCACCCCGAAATTGGTAAATGCTAATTTTAAGCGCGTTTGGTACCGAAGCCATCCCAAGCTTCAGCGCGCAGTTGGGGAGAGCAAGGAACTTAAATACTAACTGGAAAGCATACGAAACAATGTGGGAATTCAAAAAATGTACTCTAACTAGTTATACATAAAGTCCATTTTTGTTTCTACCTTCATAAATACTCCTAGCGCGACAACGACGACAGTGGAATCTGTCCCTCTCTTGCAACTGTTTGAGCACACTACTAGAACGAGACAGATTCCACTAATTTAGCTAAGTTCTTGGAACGATTTTCAGGTTCGCGTAAGCATTCCAGTTAGTATATAAGTTCCTTGGGGGAGAGTCATAAGACGTCCTAAGTTTTTAGTTTCTATGTAAAATGTTTTGTTTACATAATTTTCTTTTTATTATTGATTAACAATGTTTTAATTTCATTAAACAGTCAAGTTTTAGTCGAAATAAAATTTGATCGTCGTCTTTGTTCTTATTTAGTTTAGCAAAATCTTAGTGTTACTACCAGTTTATTCTCTTGAAGGATTAAGACATGGATAAAACATGGGAATTATTTATTCGTATTTCTGTACGGTTGATTTTGATTTGATGCTGCAAGTGTTATACAAGATTGCTAAATTAAAGTAATAATTTTGTAATGTTGCAGATATTTGGTCTTTGGGTCCAATTGATAAAATAACCACCATGAATAAGGAAAGGACCAATGAGTTAAAGTTTTTTTTTTTAATTCTTATGCACAAAGGCGACGATTTGTCTCATTTACTATGCAAATCATGCTATGTTTTATCTAGTAAAATCAATATTACATAGGTACAGATTTTAAGAAAAATCTGTAACTATAAGGGTACACACATAATCGGGTCTGCATAGTCGGTTCGGCAGTATTTGCCGAACAACTAATTCGAACCGTAGTAATTACTACCGAACATACATCTTCTCCCTATTCCATCCATAGGGAAGACCTGTGCCCTAGCAGTGGGGACATTAATAGGCTGGTGAAGATGATGATGATATATCTACACATATTCGATTTAACTACCCGGCTGTGCCGATTAATGCCGGCCCGATTATACGTGTAGCTACCCTAACAGGATAGTTTGTACGACTTAATTGGAATTGTATAATTATCTCTCAATTGCCTTGATCCTAATAACGCGTCGTTCATAAGTAGGATAGGTTTGAATGTATGTGTTGTTTTTGGTGCTTAGTACAAAATTAAATAGTAAAATTGGGGTAAATAGTTTTCTGTTTAAGGAATCATCGGAATGACTAGTGTTGCCAGCAATAAGTAATAAAATTACTTGTTATAAAATAGAACACCACGTATTTTAAGTGTATGATTAACAGGAATGTGTAAATTTACAGTAGTATTATCCGATTGAATTTTGCCAACCAATAAAATAATATTGATATAATGTTTGGGCAAAAAGCATTTCCATCAGACTGGATGGCACACGTCGAATTTGTAGTATTTCGAATGTGTATTTTTTAAGCACAAAGTTGACAAACATTTTAGAAATAATAATATTTTGACATGTTTTTATTACGTTCCTTATTTTTAAACTAACCATTTGCTTTTTACAGTTTTTACTTGTTATTTTCATTTGGACGAATACAATGATTTATACTACCCATATGATACCTACATGACTAATCTTTGTTTTTATTTTACACACAGACACAGTCAAGTCTCATTCCAAAGATCTTTTCGAGGTATATTGTTCGTAGTTCATGCTATTAGTGAATTGTTCGCTTTTGCAATGTTCTGTTAGGTGTGTTTTGTGATATCTATATTATATTAATGTAAATATTTCAATACAGTTACTATAATGCCAATAAATGATGGTTTATTCTTTTATATATATGTTTTATTGCTCTAAACTGGAGCTGTTCAAAGTTGTACTGCTTTGGTATGGTTTTAATGAGGGTGTCACTTTTTGGCGCCACTGTGACGTGAGAGTGAGTCCTTTGTATTATTTTTTTGGCGCGAGTTAATCGAACGAGCATTTTCAATTGAACCCTCACATTAAAACAAAATGGAAAGATAGGCTTAAAAGTGATCCGCTTAAATTGTGGTGCATGACCACAATTCGCTTTAGTCGCAATTGGACATCCAAACATGATGCATGTGCACTCAATATAACAATATTGCGTATATTCTCTGTTATAAAGATAAAACCTATCCCTTCGATACTTTTATAAAGAACACAAATAGTTCAAGATCAAATAACAACATGAATGTTAGTTACTGATTCGGAGGTCTGTAGAGAGAGAAAAGAAAAATACTAACTGACTACGTTACTAAGGCTAATAAGTCATCAGTTTTATATTTGCCTTCTTAATAAAATAACAAAATGCTACAAAATTGTGTACTGAACTGTGTTGTTTCATTTAAGAGTTCAAGAAGTATGTAATTATTGGTAGATCGCACAAGGTTTCGAAGATCTTTGGTCTAATCAAGTCAGCCAATACCATCAGGCGGGCCAAATGCTTGTCATCCTTTCTGCTACGCTTCTCTCTGCTAACTTCTTCTACTGAAGACGAATAATGTTTTAAAAAGCATCGAAATCCGCTCTGTCCCACTCAATGAAAACAAAAAGATATGTATAGTTATCGATGTTATACGGAGACCATTAAAATTCAAATAAATTACAAAAAAACTATTTGAATTCATTTATTACTATATTTTCTATACATTATAACATTTCAGTCCTATGTAATTAATCTAAAGTATCACATTCATTAGAACTACGTCGCAACAATATTTTATACACAGAATCAGATTATTTAAATTCAAATCAATAAAATTCATTTCATGTGAGATCGTTAAATTTGTAATTGTGTTAATACGTTAAGCATACATACGTACCTGACGTAGGTATGCTTAACGTATTAACAGCATTCTAGGGCCTATCAAATACGCCATACTTTCTATGCGACACATTAGATATTATATAAGAAAGCAGCGCAAAGTTAACTTTATTTCCTATACAATACAGATCATTATCTTAAAACTGATAGCAAATAATTGTGTAGTCTCTGTGATGGTAGTAACGTACACAACATTAAATTCTTCGACCTTTCGTTAAACTAGCATATAGATTTCCATACAAATTCGGTATTCCATAAAGTTGGATAGTCACAATAATAGGTCAATAGGTTTTACAAGGTTAATCGTGTTTGCTATTTGTAAATTTGACAGCAGCAGTCTCTCTCTCCTTTTCGTTTCCTATAGAACACGATAAGGATATACTCAGGCCTGTATATAAATTAAGTATTCGAAGAACATTGATAAAATGTGCCCCAGCATGCACAAACGAATGTCCTTCATTATATCATTTCTATGATTTTTTTACTTTATCAGCAATTATTTATAGTAAACGGACATTCTCTTCATAGGTATAGGTGCCAACTGCCAACACTCATAATTCAATATAAATTTATTAATTTTAGACGTTATTTATTATTATTCCATATTATTTAAGTGCTTAGGTAAACAATAAATCTATTCAGAACATAAATAAAGTGTACATCGTTTACAATTAATTATAATGTAACCTAGTACGTTATATAGTAATTATAGTAGGTAGACCACGGTTCCTCAAGTTGTCCGTGTTCCAACAAATGCCTGATGAGAATATATAAATGATTCCGAACACAACTAGCATTTTCTCATTGCTGTGCGTTCTGAGGCGTTCAATGTATGGGGAACGACCGATGTCTTTTCTTCTCCGTTATGGAACCCCTGGGCAGTAGCCGTGCCTTAAATACGGCCCCGGATATACTGCTATAAAATTTGCAAAAAGCTAATATGAATAGCCATGTCAAATGTTAGCATTCATCACACATTTTATTTTGAACAACTAAACACATATATGACTTTGATTAAGTATACAATTAATTTACATACAGGTATTTTACTTATTTAAATATCATTATAATTAAACATAATTATGTGTGTGAAGCGAAAGTATACTTAAAGGTATTATGTATAAATCAATAGAAGGAAGTACGACAGACAAAAAGCGATCAAAATGGATTCAAGTAATTTAATGAAATAATATCTGACTTATACTATACAAATATTATTAATAAACGAGAAATAAACATAAGACTAGTTACATCGTGTTTTGTTTATATCACTCTTCTTCTTTTTTCTTTTTTTATGGTATGCACGGTTTGTGCATTCAGCCAATGTCAAGTAAAATTCATATAACTAAAATGTCATTTGTAATTAAATATTTTTTTTATATATTCAGGTAGGCAAATGACTCAACCTCACCTGACGTTAAGTGGTGATAAAGTCCAAACGCGAAGATAGCTGGTACAGCAGTTATAAACTGCTACACCAACCATCCTCACCTTGCCGGCCTCCAAAAATGCTTCTTCATGCCTCTCTTAAAGGACCCCAGATCGTAGGAAGGAGGGAACACGTGTGTGGGCAAAGAATTCCACCAATGAAGAGACAAAACATCTCCATGTTTTGTCTCTTCATTGGTGGAATTCTTTAATAAACGAGGAGTAAGCTTGTATGTGTTACTCCTAACACATACTTACTCCTCGTTTATTAAAAAGAGGGTTAGCGTTTTTCGAGCGTCGTCGTCGCGTCGTTACGGAGTCAATTTAAAGTTTTTATGCGATACAATGCAAGCCGGCCAGCCCCTCTAGCATGACTACCGAAACGGGATATTTTATAGCGATATATCGGCATTTAACTGTTAAAGTCCACTGTAGTCTGACAGTTAATGCGGATATATCGCTTTATCATATTCCGTTTCGGTGGTCATGCTAGAGGGACAGAGCTGGCTTCGCGTCGACGTTGCGCGGACGCTGGCACGACGACGACGATGCTCTAAAGACGATAGTGTGGGGTCTTTTATAGTTATTCAAGGTCAAACATTTCTGATTTCTTCGATAAAATCGGATGTCAAATATCTTTGTGTAGACTGACTGATATAAACTTGCACAATCTGCCAATTTCAGTCCCCACAATATACCTACATTATACCATGTTTTTATAGCTTCTAACTGTCAAACTATTTGACAACTGAGCTCGGTAAAACGAGCTTTGTATCATATCGCGGTGCTCATTATAGGTTGCCTGGGTTTGATACTGTAAAGTGCTAATGGCCTTATTTTGTGAGATAAACCATTTGCAGTGACATAATCATCACAATGGGGTTGGCATTACAACTATATTACAGGCCTTCTGGCATGATTTTCTCAAACTTAAACTGTAGTATTTAAATTTATTCGGAAGTAACTCCTGAGAAACTGTCGCGGTGTGCGGTGTCTGTCGCGCTTGCGGTTCGAGGACATCTCCATGTTTTGAAATGGTGGCTTCGATCTCGATGGCAACAAGTTAGTCCCTATCGTTGGGCGATACGCGCTCGCGTTTGTTCTTCATCTTGGGCGGGGGGCGGTGCCTGTCGCGCTTGCGGCTCGAAGATGAGCAAGAGGAAGAAGGGCTAGAGTCTGGGGGTGATCCCGCCTCGTCCGCACCCGTCATGCTCGCGGACTCTGGCGTGGACGGTTCCAGGACAGTGTTGCGGAGCAAGCGTCTCTGTTCCTCAGTGTGTTGAGGGCAACGTGTAGACCTAACCGCGTAAAACGAAAATTTTAGCCGACTTCAAAAAGGTAGTGTTTCTCATTTCGGTTGGTAAGTATTTTTTATCATTCAACTTTTGTATCAGCAATTTGCAACGTGCCACCTAGTGTCATTTACTGTATAAAGGCTAACTTGAATGCCTGTCTCATAGCATGCAATAAGAGGGCAACGCGAGAGACAGCGAAGCCAATCGATTTTGCGAAAACGAAAGGTCGTAAAGTTACTGTTTATTAACATAAATTTTGATTGTAGCATGTACTCTACCTCCCTTGTTACTTTAAACAAATTGTAAGAAATTGTAATTCATTTATTTTATTATAAGAAGTAATTTTCAACATTACTTGTGGCATTGGCATGTTGGGATAGGTGTATGTAATGAATGGTTTAATTTAAGTCCAAACTAAATTAGATAAAAAGACATTGTTTTTGTAGTAAATTTTAAATTGATTTATGATTAAAAATTAATGCATTTTTCGCCAATAAACTGTTAATCAGTTTGGCGAAATTATAAAGTATAGTTAATAGTTTAAAATAATATAAAAAAAAATGTATGATATATCAAAGAAACATGAACAAGTCTCTCCTGGGATTCGAACCCCGGATCCCAAATTGGGGCGAGCCTGCCTCGTCGGCACCCGTCATGCTCGCGGACTCGGGCGTGGACGGCTCCAGCAGGGTGTTGCGGAGAAAGCGTCTCTGTTCTTCAGTGTGTACAGAGCAACGGGTAGACCTAACCGCGTTTATAATGAGTGTTATGGCGGCAATTTGTAGCTGGCATACAATATGAAGGAGGTAACGCGTTACCATATACCTAACCGCATCATCAAGTCTGAAGGTAGAAATAAGCTCGAATCTGGCACATTGGGTCAGAGTAGGCAACGGCGCGACTAATATTTTTGAATTGAGTCTTCTTTAAGCACGCTTGACTTGGGGGATAAACTGGCGAATGTGTTACGATTTCGCGTTACGATAAGTGTCATCAGTGACCCTGTGCGGATTGGAGGGTGATAACGGATCCAGCGCGGATTGGTGGGTGACAGTGGACCCAGCGCGGATTGGTGGGTAATAACGGACCCAGCGCGGATTGGAGGGTGATAACGGTCCCAGTGCGGATTGGTGGGTGACAATGGACCCAGTGCGGATTGGTAGGTAATAACGGACCCAGCGCGGATTGGTGGGTGATAATGGGCCCAGTGCGGATTGGAGGGTGATAACGGACCCAGTGCCGATTGGTGGGTGATAACGGACCCAGCACGGATTGGTGGGTGATAATGGACCCAGTGCAGATTAGAGGGTGATAACGGACCCAGCACGGATTTGTGGGTGATAATGGACCCAGTGCAGATTGGAGGGTGATAACGGACCCAGCGCGGATTGATGGGTGATAACGGACCCAGCGCGGATTGGTGGGTGATAATGGACCCGATGCAGATTGGTAAGTGATAACTGGATTGGTAGTTTTTTTTTCTATCAACAAATCTTCAGGTTAAGTTTATGATTTTCAGATCATTGGAACTAAAGAAGTTTCACTTCAGTCGTGTGGTCATAAGCACACTCACTTTCTTTGTATCGCAACTGTCTATCGGCTATGGTGGCCGCTCACCATACCATACCATATCATTAAGAGGAATAATACTTATATGCCACCCAGGGCATCGCTCATGTCAAAAATAAATTAAGACTGCACTTACCTGGTGCAAAGCTTCTTAGTGTGTTCAGACACCACTCCGCAGATTTGAAGCAACAAGTTCTTCTTTTCATTTGCCGTCATCGTCTCGTAGGTGGCGCCACCGTCGGCGTCTGTACTCTGATTACCATTGTTGTTCCTGTTGTTGCCACTGGAACGTTAGGTAAGAAGATATGTGCTTTAAGAGAAAGCAAATCAGATTTATATAGTAATACTAGCTGTCCCAGCGGACTTCGTACCGCCATAAAAAAATAGGGGTTGGTGGTAGAAGGGTGAAAATTTAGAATTGTATGAATTTTTGTAAGATGTATAATAAAAAAAAAACGAAAAAAAAAATAATTAAGTGTGGACCACCCTTAACATTTAGGGGGATGAAAAATAGATGTTGTCCGATTCTCAGACCTATTGAATATGCCTATAAAATTTCACGAAAATCGGTCGAGCCGTTTCGGAGTAGCTCAATTACGCACACCGTCACACGAGAATTTTATATATTAGATTTATATACCACTCAAAAACCATCAAGTATAGATTGTGCGTTCCCTAACCAATTGAGTGTCCAATTTACCAATTAACACCCACCAATTCACGACATGCTTGCGTAGAAAGCCTATATTCTCTAAGTGATTCTGTCTACAGGCCCAAGCAGTAGTAACATTTATAGTCTGATGTCAAATCTCGAATAAATTAGAATCGCAAAACCTCATGTTATCATCTGAATGTACCACCAGGATTTAATCAAGGTGGCCCATACTTTGAGGTCCTGGGTTCGGAACCTGGTAGAGGTAAATGTAACTATGATGAATACGAGTATTTGTACCAGAGCCATGGCTGGTAATATTTGGCCACAAAAATATACTTATCTATATATCATGTGTAAAATTTCTATCAGTTACCTTAAGTATACCATAACACAAACCTTCTAGTGTTTACTTTGAGGTTAGGCTAATGAGAATATATAGCATAATTATTAATTTATACTTGTGCAGTTTGTTTGGTTTGCGGTTGTTGTTGTTCTTGATCCTTCGCTTGCGGCGCTCGCTCTGCAGCGAACCGCCTGCCCAGTCGGCGTCATCTTCGTCGTCGCTCAGTAGTCCAGCGTAGGAGGTCGGTTCCCGGCTGTTTGATGCGATGCGGCGCGAGGCGATACGAGAACTGTTGCGACCCATGCCTAGAGTATTGAGTGAAAAATACAACAAATCAGTCAATGTCCGCAGTCCCACTTGATATCTAAGGTATATTTAGGCCATTTGTGCTAAGTTCTTTAATATAATTTAAAAATTTACACCTCATTTTTACTATTACACTGGCGTATTTTGTCCTTTCGACGCCGGTGACAGTAGGGCCCGCGGACCTATTAACTATTTAAAATTATCAATTTTCTTCGTTGATTCGGCCCACAATATAAAAACAAAAAGGAAACTAAAAGTAAGCATCACTTGGTGGTTACTAATGAAGTTCATTTAAACGCATGAGGAATCTTTTGGCCTTCACAGCTTCCCTGCAGCTCCCAAGCCTTTTATCAGCTAAAAGTGGTCCTTCCATTAGCTAAGAATATGTCATATATTAATGTTTTCCCACCAACTGTACCAAGATCAAACATTCTTACTTTTTTATTGTGGGCAGAATCAACGAAGAAAAAGTTATTATTTTTAATAGTTCGTTGTTTCGGCTAGAGGACCCAACCATCACCAGGCCGAAATGACGAAAGACCCTTTCAGATCATCATAGGCGATGAAGAGGTGACTAAACACCTCGAGCCTCTTCAATTACGCCGTGACGTGGCGTCACTAAGCGCGTTCTATCGTCTGTGCCACCGCGAGTGTTCTGAGGACCACAAGCGCTGGCCTACGTTGTCACCGTCTAACTGTGGCCACAATTCCAACGCGTACAAAGAAATTTGGTGACTCATTTCTTTGCCGCACTATCCGTAAATGGAATGCTCTGCCTGCTCACGTGTTCCCTCTTACAATTTGGGATCCTTTAAAAGAGGCGTGAAGAAGCAACATGCAGGCCGGTAGGGTGAGGATGGCTGGTGTGGCAGGTAGAACTGCTGTATCAGCTATCTTCGCGTCTGGATTTCACCTTCACTTAACATCAGGTGGGGTGGAGTCATTTGTCGGACCTATCTATAAAAAATAAATAAAAGAAGATGGGTTTATGTGTTAAAGGAGATTAAGCCTTAATTTAAGTTTTGACTAATTACACCATATTATCATAATATTAAATAAATATCTGTGAAGTGGAAAAAAAATATCTTTAAGACAAGCAGCAAAAAATTGGCAATATTCTGCTATAGCACATAGTATATTTTTTAAGCAACCTCTGTTCACCATAATGCAAAGATAGCAGTTATTCTATTAAAAACCGGCCAAGAACGAGTCGGACTAGCGCACAGAGGGTTCCGTAGAAACCTGAATTTTCAACATTTTTTTTTATTATATGATGTAATTAAAAATTTACGGTTTTCGAAATTTTTCCTTTATCTGTACTATAAGACGTTATTTCATACCAAATTTCAAGATTCTAAGTTCACGGGAAGTACCCTGTAGGTTTGATTCCCGTGCGAGTTTCGAAAATTTGCGGCATAAACGGCTGTATCTTTTGATTGCTTTGGCTTAGAAGTTTGATTTTTTCACAGCTCCAAGGGACAGTAGACCTGAATATTATGAATTTCAATTTGTTACCTCCACGCGTTCCTGGGAAAATTGATCTTGACAGACAACAAAGTGATCCTATAAGGGTTCCGGTTTTTCCTTTTGAGGTGCGGAACCCTAGAAATATGGTTGGTATAGTAATAATGATGAAAATGTCGAAATCTCCAAAAACATACAAACCTTCCAATTCCCATTCATCATTCTGACTTTTCTGTCATGCCATACAAATTGCATTTAAAAAATAGCAGATATTGGTTTGACAACAACAATATGGTTATGTGCTTGATAGAATATACAAATGAACAACCATTACGCAGTAATGACAAATTAATTATAAGTATTACTTACTTATACCCATGCAATAGAAAAAGATAAATAGGCAGACAGTTTATAGAAGGGATCATGAGGGTATTTTACTGAATATTCTGGAAAGAGCTGGAGGAGCCCTATGCCAGAAAATTTTCAAGTATACAAACCATTGTACCAAACATTTTAAGAACAGGAAAGCTTACAGTAAAATACAATACAATTACCCTGCTCTCTTCCTACAACATGAAAAAGATTGGATTCAAATCTAAACTATATATTGGTGTCAATTCTGCAATGATTCTCTAAACTTAAACTTCAATTTGTTAACAGTGTATCCTTATCATTCTCTATACAGAATAAAAAGGAGAGACTAGTTAAATTTAGATTTAAGTTTAGAGAATCACGCCAGAATCGACACCATTACAGTATTAATTTTTAAGCATTTAACTGCTAGATGTTTAAATCTATTTTTTTTTCTAGTAAAATTTTCTTATTTTATATAAGTTTATATAGTTTAGTTATAATTTACTTGTTCTAGGGTAGGCCAACAACAAGTAAATTATACGAGAGTAATAATCAAATAATCCTAACTAGATTAAATATTCTCTGGGAAGCCGAGATATCATAACAAGCAAAGCAAATCCACTCTGGATTTGAAGAAATCAGAACACAATATACCACACTGTCAGAAAAGGTAGACAACACAAAAGATGGTAAGACAATCTACCCAAGAGTTGGCGATGAGCAGCCACAGATCCAGATACAGGTTGTACACGTGCCCATGTCAGTGATTAAAATTTTTAATTTTAAGTAACTTTTAACATGTACAGCAAAGAATAATGGCTATTTTTATTTAATTATTTTTATGCTGTTGTCTAAAATAAATACTGCAGACAGAATATTGAAGTAATGTAAGATGTTGTTATCAACTAAATTGTCTGTAATAAAAATGTTCATATCATTATTGAAGTTATTAGAATTAATTCACTCCCTTCCAAAGCCCACTCTAACCTCAACAAACCTTACACTTCTTTTTTAGCAGTGTAGTAATTAAAATTCTCTCAAGACAAATACAATCACCCAGTTTTCATTGATTTACCAAACAATATCAGCTGAAACTTTAGTCTTTTATAGAACTTGAAATTACAAGGCTATAAAGCCTTGTAAAGATTTCACAGTGAATTTAGCTTTATTATAGCAATAGATGTGTTTATACACAAATATTCTAAGTACTACTCTAAAAGAAAATAAAATCCAATTTAATTATTATCATTTCCAAGTACTTAATAAAAAGTTGCAGGAGCATTTGAAAAGTTTGTCAAATGTTTATCATAAAAAAGTGTTCTATTATATTAATGAATATTTAAATTATAAATGACATTAATAATAGTATTGTTATCTAATGAATTGATGCATGTATCGGTTTTTTACTGCAATCCTATTGTTTATTAAGGGATTAAATTATTTTATCTTAAATTAATAGTAATTTTATTTTTTGGTAAAACTGTACTTCCAGGGCCGAAAAGCTGATACTTGGTTTTTTTTTTGTAGAAAAGGTCTTTTTAACAGATTTTTTTTTCTAGCGCATCGCCGGCCACTGCCGCGGCATGCTCGCTTTGCTCGCTCGGCTTGCGCGTTATGGTCAAAATACTAACCTAACCTAACCTAGTGTGAAGTATCACCACTTGATAAGAAAAGTAAAAAATTTCAAAGTTTTTTTTCTAAAAAACTACCAGTGCATAAGTGTGACATTTTTTTTAATAATGTGGTTAACAGAAACCTTTTTAACAACAAAAATGCGAAATTACAACCAACAAAACTGTGAAGTTTATACTTTTAGGCCCTGGAAGTACAGTATATCCTATTTTTTTAACAAATATTTAAGAAACCTTAATTTTGCATGCTTAAACATATGGTTTAATAATAGGCTGATTTTAAAACTATGTTTATATTTTTGTCAATATCAACATTTTAATGTTCCCACCCTGGTTAATGGAAAATACAGAATTTTAATATGAACTGCACTCACCCATACATTTCTCCAAATGAGGTGCAAATCTGGTAGCAGACACTGGCCGCTCACAATTCGGGCAGGAGCAGTTGCTGTCCGGAGTCTTTTTCATGATAGAAAAACCAAAAACATCACATTCTGGTGTATTCACTATTTTGTAAACATCATCATCTTCCTTTTCACCTTCCAGCAGATCTGATAAGCCAGTTTTAAGGCCGTGGTGGAATTCAAAGAGAAATCCCACAGTAACATCGTCAAAAACGCTATCGTAAATAAAATTTGCTGCCTCCTCTGCATTGCTCTCGCTTTGCATTATTTCGAAAAATTTATTGTTTAAGTCGTTCATGCTAAGTTCGCTAACAATAGTACTCATTTTTACTAGAAACAAAACAACTCAGATGTAAATTCAAATGCGAAGATCCAGAATACAAACTAACAGGAGGTTGTCCGCTTTTTTTCCTCTTCAAAAGGTAGTTATGTAATTTATTATGGATTAATAATTACACTACATTCACCTAAATCAACCTTTTAACAGTAATTTATGTAATAAGTAATTGTAAATTTGTAATGGCCTCAGGTTTCTGTTCTGTTAAATTGAATGTTATTTTTTTTTTGTTGAAGTTCTCCCGTTTTAGGGAAGGCAAAGGGAACAATGCCCATACAGCCTGGTCTTTAATTAAATTAATCTTCTTTTTGTATTTACATTAGAATGTCGGTGCGACGCATTCTACGTTTCTTGGAGTGTTTGGCACGAAATGTATCGAGTTGGCTTTTTCGATAAGCTTCTGTGAGGTAGTCAACACTACAATAAAATTCTCACGTCCACTTGACCGGAATAGCGTATATTTTGACGATTCCACTAACTAATTCTTCAGTTACGCAGACAGTTGTTACACAAAACCACACCAATTTTATTTCACAATATCCACTATGAACGAATTTAAGAATAATTAAAATAAGACGCCAACCGCACTCGATGAAATCCCGCCAAAAAACCCGTTATTTTTTTATTAATATGTTTTACGGCTCTGGATTCTAAAATTTTTAAGCCAAACGATGAATTGAACTATGTTATTGAATGACCACACCAGTGTTGCCAGTACCTGCGTCGTGTTTCGGACTATTCGGAATCTGAACAATTACGATTTTTAGACAAAAAGGACGGGCCTGCAGAAATATTCATCAAAAGTCAAAAATATATTTATCTTACGTGTTGTGTTGTGACGCGATCTGCTTCATACAATAAGTACGGTTAGAACTATATTCGTGTGTAGCGATGTCTCGACAGCGTTCAGAAATCAATATATCTTTATGCAAATTGGATGTATAGTGGTGTCGATTCTAGCATGATTCTCTAAACGTAAACTTAAATTTGACAGCAGTATATCCTTGTCATTCTCTATACAGAATGAAAAGGAGAGACTGATGTTAAATTTAGTTTTGAGTTAAGAGAATCATGCCAGAATTTGCACCAGTACAACTCTTTTGAACAATCCAATTTTTTTCCCCTACCACTCGTTATTCGACATATTTTACAGCTGCTGAGAAAAACGAGCAAAAAAACTCCACAAAATTAAAGTATATTGTAACAACATTTATAAATCATTATGCTATTTCAACGTCAATACAATCATGATTTATTTAATATAGAAAACCTGTTAGAATGATTGGAACAGTTCATAACCAACCATTTTTGTCTGTAATATTATGAGACACTATGTAATAAGCTTTCTTAGTAAGTACTTTTTTATACTATCCTGAATTTATTTATGGTTTACTCTTGGATATTGCTTGGGGCTTTATTGTATAAACGATCACAAAGACCTATAAATGAATTATTGATGTTGTGAAGCCTAGAAGCAGGTAAAGTTAGTTGTATTAAGTGTGTGAACATCGCTGTTTTTAAAAAACAAATTATTAATTTTTACGAGTAATTTTTAGTATATGTATTGCGATGCGACCGTCATTATGCCAAATTTGTAAACTTATCTCTCTTCTGCAGCACAAAAATAGTTTAAATGTCGGCGGGGTTTCCCCACAATAAAATTCCATACGACATTACACTATGGAAATAACTAAAGTACACTAATCTGGCCGCATCTACATCCGTTAACTGGCGTATCTTCATTACAGCATTATGCTGCAGAGCTAAGTCTATTTGACAATTTATCAAAATGTGGGTCCCATTGAAACTTAGAATCTACAGTAACCCCTAAGATATACAAGGCCCACAGTCCTATCCTTAACATTCACACTGGTTTTTACCTGTTTTAAATAAGTTAATACAATTTTAATACATATCGTTTTTCCTTCATTAAGTAATAAATTATTAACATTGAACCAGTGGACTACCTTTTTTTTCTTTATTTATTTAGAGGCTTTCATTCTACGAATATGCCAGCCTCATTGTACCCTAACAATTGTGGACTACCATAGAAATACAACTGTTCACGTCATCAATAATTGTCTCCTTGCGTTTGAGTTTAAATAAAAGTGATCTATAGTCCGCGAACAATACTATCTCATGGTTATCTCTTACATAGTAAGGTTACTAATATATAAATAAAATAAGAAAGGACCAAGGATTGAGCACTGCGGAACACCCATCTTAACCGGCGAACCCGGAGACTTATTGCCCTTAATGTCAACCCTCTAAATCCTATCCCTCAGGTTTGATTCAATAAGATCCAGATCGGTATCTCTAAATTCATAGTGGTGGAGTTTCTGAGTAATGTTTTATGAAAAACGCAATCAAAAGCCGTTAAAAATCATTTGGATAAGTCGCAAAACACACCTAGAGCACCTTCTCTCAGGCGTTAAAAATTTGTTGTATAAGTTCATCATCAGCATCGGTTGTTGAACGACCCCGTGTAAACCAAATTGTTTACAGTGTAGTATATTATATTAAAGAAATAGCTAGCAATATCTCACGGTTTTACCCGTGTTGATCTACGGTTTAAAGTATTTAAAGTTTCACTATTTAATTTAAAGCTTCAAGTATTTTATGACCTACATTTATAACCTGGAACATATTAATTATAATCTACAATATTTTCCCTATTACTTGAGTAGCAGTTGAGCAGCTGGCTACACGATTTATGACATTTGATAGCATCATTGCAAATTCACATACACACACCACTGAGGTGCCGCATTTTCTGAGCTGTTGTTTTTTGACAGCGCGGTATCTAGTCGAGTGAAGCGAGACCAATCATTTATCTATGGCGAAACCACTATATTTTGCTTAAAGCATATTTTTGTCAGTAAAAGCTTTCTTAGATATTATTAGAAATTGTTATTATAATATTAGTAAGGCAAAGAGCAGCAAAAATATATTAATTTCAAAAATAAAGTAAATATTTTAACCACATACTGGTGTTAATACTTAAATTTGACAGCAGTATATCCTTGTCTCGTCTTATCCTGCCAGAATTGACACCAGTGGTGCCAGTTCTGGCGTGATTCTCTAAACTTAAAACTAAATTTAACATCAGTCTATCCTTTTCAGTCTGTATAGAGAATGACAGATACACTGTTGTCAAATTTAAGTTTAGCTTTAGAGAATCATGCCAGAATCCACACCACTATATTTTTTCCCCATTTTTTGCCAGTTAAGTACTATATTTTTAGGAGTAACGTTTCGAAAATTACTAACCTAAATTGCTGAAGTTGGTAACCCTATCTGCAGGTTATAGTTGTTTAAGTAACCTTTTTCTTGGTTGTGTTATAAACAAATATTTAGTAACTTGCTTCTTGTTTGTGATCTACTCTTGTTTCTTGATTTATATTTTTGAATTAACATAATGAAGCGCTTCTACGCTTATCGCGAAAACTTTACCCTGCTGTACAACCTGCTGTACCCTGCTGACATAATGTGTTTTTCTGAAACTTTTTTAAAACCTGACTCCCTTAGATACTTGAAAATCGCAGATTACGAACTTGCATCAGAGTTCTGCAGGAATAAACAAAGGGGTGGAACTTGTATATTAATAAAAAGAGGATTGCCTTATGAAAAATTAAATATTCTACAAGACCACGCAATTCAAAAAACTTTTGAAGCTTGTGGCATTTTCATACCACTTCAAAATTTGATAACAAATATGCCTGTACAGAATACCTGCCTCCGACCCTTACCTCTTTATGTCAAAATTAGACCAGGAGGCCTACTCTATTTCAACGAAAAACGAAATATCGATCGTAATTTCGCACGTTCCTTACTCTGTTTCTATTTCATTTCGAAAATTCGTTCGTCCGAAAATAGTTTGACATTTAATTTCTCTAAGCCTACTCTAATTCACAAAACATAAAAAGTGTTACCTTTTCATTTTCGTTTTGGGTTTTTTGTTTAAATTAAACCTAAAATTACTAGTGAGTATTTTTAATTAAGGCTGCTTAGCGTGAGGAACATCTTTTAGTATGAAAAATTTACAAATAAATCTAATTTTTGTTTATTATTGTATTGCCAATACTTCAAAGTATTACACGACAAATTTAGGTTGACATACATTCGATTGCATCAACTCTACAAATTAGTCGGCTTACACTTGCAAAAGAGGTTGTTTTAATGTAATTAAAATTGTTGTCATAATGTAATATTGTTTTGAAGTAAAAAACGTTATCTAAAAAGTGTTGACAAAAAGAACTCACAAACATAACTCATTCCATTCGTTCACGATAATTGTCTGTGATTCCGAACTTTATGTGCGTGTTCGAAGATGAAATAGAGTAGAGTCACTGGCGAAATTTCGTTTAAAATTCGTTCGTTGCCGAAATTTCGTTTCGGAGAAAGAGAGTAGAGCTCCTGGTTCTACACGAAATAAATAGACGTAATAAAAAAATACAAAAATTGTTGTTGCAGGTGACATAAATATCAACACATTACAACCAGGCAAAGTCAACAATTATTTAAAAGATTTGTGTAACAACTACAACTTAACTTTACATATAAACACCCCCACGCGGAAAGAATCTTGCATCGATCATATTTTTAGTAATATTAAAAATGCAACATCTGTGGTTTTAACTCTTTGCTTATCAGACCATGATACAGCTCAACTACTCAGCTTTCCCATGAAACAAATACATATAAAACCTAAATCTTATTTTGTTTACAAACGAGATTACTGTATTGAAAACATTGAAAAATTTAGGGAATGTTTAACTAAACTATCGTGGTCCGAAGTTTATAATCTTTCGGAATCTTTCATGACTTATTGAGCCTTTTTTACAACTTATGTTTTCCAAATATAAGAATAAAAATCAATAACGTGAATAGGAAAAAACAAAAATGGATAAGCCCTGGCCTTAAAATTAGTTGTAAAACAAAAAGACACCTGCGCTTCGGATATTACAAAAGCAAAACATTAGAAAACAAAAACAAATACTTATCATATACTAATATTTTAAATAAATGCATACATTATTCGCGAAAAAATACTACTATGAAATTCATAAATCAGAGCAAAAATAAATTTAAGGCTACATGGTCAGTAATTCAAAATGAAATAAATAATACTAAAATTGATGATAATATTACTAATCTGAAAATTTA